TGAACGCGGTGGTCCAGGGGCGTCCGCGAGGTTGTAAGAACCTCCGGTCGTGCCGCTAAACGAGACTCCAAATTCAGATGAGACTGATACAAAGGGAAGATAGGAAACTGCTGCCACGTCAAATGGGGAACCCGTGGACTTTGCATTCTGATATCACACGGCAACGCTGGGAAGAGAATGTGCATATCCGAACATGCTTAGTCCACTCCTCAGGAAACTGTCTAAGCTCCCAGGCCACTAGAGAGAGACGGACCTGGCCTCTGAAATAACATTGAGAGCCTGTTACTATGATAGCAACGCCGCATTTGTCAGCATTGCATATCTAAATGCTATCTGAAAACCGTGGCTCATTCTGATTAAGAGGGTCTTGTAACAGCTTCTACACCCATGCAGTGTGCGGACCACTCAACGTGGATACCTCCTGTTTGCAGCCAAGCGAGCCTCCAGTCCGGGGATCAATTTCATGTTGCATTGAGCAGATGTGTTATCAAGCCTGGATTTTTCTTTTACATTATAAACCCCCCCCCCCCCCCCCCCGCACGAATGAATGTGAGAAGTCCTTGCATGAACATAAAGCGGGAACGATACAAGCGCGTCTGCATTTGTCATCCAGGCTGAACACCGTGGGGCTGTTTGACAGAGATGTCCAACAGGCTTCAAACATGAAAAGGGGATACGAGATCTCACCGGGCGCCGGAATGGCCAAGACTCGCCGAGGTTCTGCTGATCCAGCTGGTTATGGTGCCACACAAAGCGATGGGGATGAGGCACCCTGGGTTTTGGCGGACAGGACTTGCACGTCTCTCTAAATCCGGAGAAGACAGCGGGGGGGCGGGGTTTCGGAACATCTTCTCCCTGGATTCTGCCCCAAGACTCTCAACAACATAATCCCGGTGTGTACCCCTGGGCCACCGCAGCCACACTTGTCGTTGGGCGGGGGCATTCGGAAGGGGGGAAGGGGGGACACTGGGTTTGGTTTCAGCAGACCCAGCTGACCCCGGCTTCGTGGCCCACTAGAACAAGGGGACTACAGCGGGGGCCGTCCTGCACGCTGGCACCCAGCCATGGAAAACATTTTAACTTTCATAGACATAAACAAAGCCCCCCCCCCTCAGTTTCCCTTAGAATAAAAGCACTGAGAAGTCAACTTTTTAGTCTTGCTATTTTGTGCTGCATTTGCGAAACACTGCCAAAATTCCTCTGCACCACCCCCTGCCCCCCACCCACCCCCATCTTTCTGCCCCAGTGTTGATTCCATCCATCCATCCATTGTCAAACCGCTTATCCTGCACACAGGGTCGCGGGGGGGCTGGAGTCCATCCCAGCCAACTTCGGGCGATAGACAGGGTACACCCTGGATTGGTCGCCAGCCAATCGCAGGGCCACACAGAGACATACAACCATTCACACTCACATTCAAACATCTACGGGCAATTTAAAGTCCCCAATTAACCTGATCCCCAGAGCATGTCTTTGGACTGTGGGAGGAAGCCGGAGAACCCGGAAAGAACCCACGCAGACACGGGGAGAACATGCAGACTCCACACAGAAAGGCCACTGGGCGGAATCGAACCCAGGACCTTCTTGCTGTGAGGCGACAGTGCTAACCACCACGCCACCATGCCGCCCCCCAGTGTTGATTATTTGGTCTTTTCTTTTCCTCCTAAATGTGTTATTCATCCTGTTCCATGTGTCTCTGGGCACACTTCAGAACTGGATGTAAAATAAACGGCTGCCCCCCCCCCCCTCCGGCCCCCGTTGCGAGGCCTCGCCTGCACATACCTGGAACAATAAACAGACGGCCTTCTGGGATTGTTTATACTCATCTCCAGGCGTTCGAGGACAGCGGCACAACAGGAACTAGACTGTGTGTATGGATTTGCTAGACCGACGCCCACTCTGCAGCGCGGCGTTGGTGGATGCTACTAGACCGTGGTGGAGCTGGCGGGGCAGCGCGGACTGCGTCTGGCAGAGCGGGGGTTTACCTTGGAGTGACACCAACCATCTGCATGCTATAAGGACTAAATTGCCAGCTTGATGTCCAGCACCGAGACAAAAACGTTCCACATACATGAGTGTGTGTGTGTGTGTGTGTGTGGCTGCATAAGAGAACCAGACAGAGACAGAAATACTAAGAAGGAGCAACCCACCGCTGTGCAGGAGCCATCCCGTCCTGAGAAACTCATTTGTCATTTTGCATTTTACTGCTTTGTTTATAGTTGAAGCTGCTCGTATCACTTCTTTATTTTCTTCTTTTACAAACAACTAACAACTGACTTTGCAGTTCGCCCGGGGAGCCTTTTATCGTCTTTAAGTCTTCACGCGATGCTTTAGTTATGCAAGTTGAGCATTTACAGCGGCGCTACAGAAACCTTTGGCCGCTCCACCCACATCCTGGTGCACCTCCTCAACAGAGGCAGTGTAACTACATCTTAGTACGACGCGCTTCCGATATCGTAGAACAGCGTTGATGAGGGTGAACGAAGCGTTTCCTCTTAGAGGTGAACAAGCCATGTCCTCTCCTTTGCTTTGATTAGTCGTCTTTTGTGTTGATCCGCTGTGTCAATAAAGCAAATAATTGCAGGTAAGCAATCCTTCCAATACGAATGCACCATGTGGCCTGAGCAAAGACAAGGAAACACATGAGGAGGGTTGTATTGAGGTGACATTGAGACTTGGCCGTTTGTGCTGTAAAGCGTCGAGCTGTAGCAGATTCCCTAAATCCCATTGGGATTATGGGTTGCTTTGCAGTGAAAGCTTCATAAATAATCTTTTTGGCGTCTCAGGACGACGCGCCGGACAGACGCCTTCTAACTGGGCTGACAAGAAAATGAAAAGCCTTCGTTACCCTCGAGTCCTCTCGGGGAAACAAACTCCTAACAGCTCGAGACAATCACAGTGTGGATGTCGTTTGGCCAGCTCCGGAGTTCTGATGAGCTTTCCAGAAGGATGTGGGACTCACAAGTGTGGCAGCTGCTTAAAATAAAGTGACAATATTTAATGGGGTTTCAAACCTCAGCGAGTCGCTGCATCCTGCCAAGCCCCGAGTGATGGCACATACCCAAACCCCCCGGTTTTATCGAACAGGACACGCTGGAGTGAGCGTGTTCTCTCAGCCTGGTGCCATTACGACGCCTGCATGCAGTCTACCATTGTCGAGAATCTTGTTTCCCATCAGCGGGAGCTTTTTAAAAAAAAAAAATTTATACGAGCCATACGTGGACATACGTCGAGGTAAAAGCCCTCCTGACGATCGCCAGCATCAGAAAATCCCGTTAAGTCGAGTTAAACCCGACGGGGGTCGGGTCAATTTGTGAGGTCTACGGCAAAGCTGTTTTCACCATGATGATAAAACTCCTAATGAAAAACATCCCCCGGAGGTTTTCACTTCGTACTGCGCGGGCAATATCGCTTCATTCCTTCCCACTGTCTGCTTCGAGGGGGCGGCTCGGCCCACGGTCGCGGCAGCCGACAGAGGCGCACACTCATTAGAGAGAGAGAGAGAGAGAGAGAGACTCGCAGACTAACAGGAAATGCAATTACTGTCTGAGCGCATTCCTCAAAAGTATGACCAATTTCACAGCAATTTTGGCGAGTCAACAAGTCGTATGTAATCATAATGAGCAGCATGATGTTTTCACGCCGAGCGGAGCACCCCTTTGCGGTTCCATCCCTTGACCATTTGGTGCTTGTAATCATCTGCAGGCCGTTCCAACTGTAAACAGGAGCCCTGGGAGGAGGCACACCTCCTCTGTGTTAGTGGAATACTGTCATTTAAACGCTGTGTCAACAGGGATCCGGTTCCCCAACCAGGCCGCGTACAGCCGGAGCGGAGGTCGCGCTCACAGTGTGCCGTCAGGGCCTCGTTATGGCACCACACCTTTCGGTTATCCGGTTTTCTTTGTGGCAGCAAATAGGCGCGTCTAAAAGATCTCATACCTCTAAGGGGTCGTCTGGTCCGCCTTGCCTGCATCAACGAGTTGCATACATTTTATTTCTTATTTGATCATTTATAGTAATTCTTGTCCACAATTCAGAAGCGATATGCAGGTATTTCCGCCACTAATGAGATCAAGTAGAGCTGTTGTTGCTAATGGAACTAGCCAATAGGGCCGACATTCATGAATGAATACAGTTATGATCCTGGACTTATTAACATGATTATCTGACCCTCCCTGTGACGTCAGAGCAGGTTGACCGTGTTTTGCCATTTGACATTTGGTACAAACATCCATGCTGCCATATTATTGACATTCGTCTTCGGACTCGCATGTCTAAACAATCACTGGATCGTATTAACCCTGCTGGACTGCCATGACATTTGGTACAGATACTAATGAGCCAATGGGATGCAACATTTCAGTTATCCCATGACCTCTACTTCTCTAAATCCTCCATGAGGTGTAAACGCCAGTTTCATCTCCTAAACAAATCATTGCAGAACTAGAGCCACTCCGATCAGCCTCAGCTGCACTGAGGTTAGTGCCAATAAGCAAATGATGGCGGCATGCTGACACAATTTGCAGACTATTATGTTGGAACGCTACGATTTGCCTTTAGTTGAAACGTAGTTCAGCTTGGGAGCGACGGAGCGTTGCTCTCGTTGAACTAGCCGCCGCTTCGGGCGTCTCACGATAAACAAAAGTATCTGAAATCTAATCAACCGTATCACCGTTTCCTGCTTCGGCCTTTTTCAAAATTTCGCCCGGTCCCGAAAAACATATCAAGAAATGAAAACATTGAAATGGTTGTAGCTGCATGTATTCAGATCCACGACCGAAGTGAATGAACACACACATGTTCACTGACACACACGTGTGCACTGACACCACACAAGCAGCTGCTGTGAGTCCAGGTCCTCTGCGCATACCTCCGTCAGGGCCAAAATGATTAAACAAATAACCCCTTTGTGCGCAGCAGCCTTGATTGAGCGGAGTTGTATGTACCCAGCGAAAAAGAAATACAGGAAAGTGCCTCTGGTGGTGCCAAAATTCACTTACCCTGTTAAAACATCGCTGCTGTCAAAGTTGTTTTTACTCTCTCACATGGAAACTAAATTCATCAGGCCTCTCCTGAGCATTCAGGTCTAAAAAGAAGAAAAAAAAGAATCTGAATGAGTGTGATTATTTATGTGAAAAACAAACACTGAAACTTTATCTGCATTAGTGGTCACAGAATGCTGACACCAATAAATTTCAGCAAGAGATCATTTGCAGTGCCACCGTAGGGGGGCAAATCGGGTCGTTGCGGTTTACTTAATTGATCGTGGGCGTCATACCAGCCCAAAAGGATCTGACGAATGAAAATCCAGAGGAAAACTCTTTGCGTCGTTTTAAAGTCAAAGACATGAAAGTGTACCCAACGAACAATTACATTCCCACTTTAAGATTAATTAGGTTTTTATCGGATAGCAAGTCAGTTCCTCCAACATCTGCATTTATGTCAGATTCAGTCTGAATAGAAGAACGGACTGGACCCAACATTACATCTGCAACCAATAATCTGTACAAGTGAGAATATTACACTGTACGATTGTAGAAGTACTGTGAGAGAATGAGATGAGCAAGCCTGCCCTCTAGTGGTGATTGTCAGCCATGATAATAAATGACTCAATTATTCATTGTTTTCCCCATCACCCTGCATAGATCAGGTCAGATATGAAAGAAATAGATTTATAGATTAGCAGCGTTATATGCAGCAACAATTTGGATTAAATTACATTTTCCTTTTTTAAAGGAAAATAAACTGGACAGATTTTCTGGTTTCAGCTTCTTCACTCTGAATAATTTGCAGGTTGAAACCAACCTGGTGGAAGCTGCGTTTCAGTTTTCCCTTAAAAAAAAACTTTTAAAAGAGCCTCTAATGCTACTTTCACGTCAGGACGCTCCTAGAAAACCAGAGCGGATCGTGTGAAGTCTCACATTACACCTGATGTCATCCCCTCGCTACACACTCAGACTCTGCCTTTCTAGCTCTGCGTTTGATGACAAGAGCGCTGAATTATGAACGACGCCCCTCCAGGACTCTTCTTCATGTCGTGTTCCGATGATGCGACTCTGTTTGCTACCGAGCGCATTATGGAGAGCGGCCTGCATTATTGAGGTGAGGTTTCGTTGAAAACTCGCTCCCTGGAAGTCGTGGCAGAGACAGTTGGGGAACGTTCCACATCATGCGATCAATGAAACGCTCTCTCAAATGTATCATTGATGAGCCTTCGTTCCGTCCTGATGTTTTTATTTATTTTCACGGGAAGGCCCGTCCTCGTGGACATTCCATTCCCTTTGAATCGTTGGCAGTATTTTTTTTTGCAGCGAACAGAGTACTCTGTATAGTCCGGGGCATCGATTCCACGGCTCTGCTGGAGCACCAGAGGGCCTGTTCTACTCGGCAAACAACATCTGATCTAAAAATAAAAAGTGACGGATCAGAGATTTCACCAACCTTTGTGAGACCGCTGAGCTGCACTCGATGTCCATCCTGCCGAGAAATACCAAAGCAAGCATTACGTTAGAGTAACCAATGAGATTTTAGGGGTTATACAAAGATGAATTTCATTGGAATTAGGCTACATGTTGTAAAACTGAGCTGGGGAATTAGACGCCTTATACCAACACTGTATATAGTACACACACTGTAAAAGTGAAGGAGGACACACACACACATACACACAAACACGCACACACATTGAAACAATGCCAGCACCTTTAATCAAGCAACACCCATCCTCAAACTTGACCTTTCTGAATTAATCACCGGTGAAGGTTTTCAGAGTGTTAAGTGTTTGTGTGGTGGGGGATGGGGGGGGTCAATGCCCTCCTCTTCAAACACCTGTACGTCCTTGTTACTGCCTTTTGCAACAGTTGTTATTTATGAAGCTGATCCATTCAGCACTAGATGGCGATGTCACTGCAGCAGCTCAACATCTGTCTCTACACTGAGAACATCGCAGTGTGGAGACAGATGTTGAGCAGTAGAAACTGTACATGTGACATTAACAAGCCAATTTATATCTATAATGGAGATCAAGATGGAGTTATTTATAGATTCTCTGGTCAGTGGGAGTGGGACTGCCCCCCCCGCCAACACTTAATCTGTCGACACGTGTGCTGAAATGTGAAAAGAACAAGCCACATGTCATCTTTGTGTCCCCTTTAAGACAGGTATTAGTCACTGTATGCAAACCAATGCTACATATGTGGATGGAAGAACATTTGTCATGGAAAGTTTCCTCTCAGATCTGCAGCTCCGGTTGCCATGTCAACCGACAGCCGTCACAAGAGGGCTCGGGTTATTTAATCCGACGCCTGCTGCTTGTCCTCCTCAAAGGCTTCTATGTATAATTACATCAAAGGCTATTACTCAGAGTAGTAGTCATTGTTAATCTCCCCCTTATGTGCATGAACCCGTCGCAATTATCTGTAAAAATCTGATCATTGATGTTTTTTATAATTGGCTACATGAAGGAATCATGTTTTCGAGAGCTCCCATCTTAGATAAGGTCATTAAATGATCCCTATTCATTGCAGCTCTAATTAATAACACAACCTGGGTGTACTGAATCAGGCCTCGGTGCCGCTCCGCGTGGGTTGGGTGACAGCGGCCTTTGACCTACTGTCGTTTTTCACACTTGGACAATGACAATCTGAAAGTGGAATATAAGAGATCTGTCTTCAAGGGCAGGACTGATAGTTGTGAATGCTGCATAACTACAAGACGCACGTCCTTCTAAATAACCAAATGCCGATTGATCTATTCCATGGCATTTAACTAGCAACTAAATGTGTTTCTCTCTCGGTCCGCTCTCCATCAGCTACAGTCTTCATATATGGTTTAATTGATCCAGAATACAGTAAAACAGTTCAATACTCCTCGGAAGCTGAAACAGATACTTTTCAAAAAGTATTTGACGGATCCATTACGTTGTACAAGCACGTACGTTATGGCAGCAAATGGAAGGGAAAAGCTTTTTATTATGGTTGGCAATAGACAATTTTTTTTTCTTCTTTAATATTCTCTAAAATCTAAAATTGCCCTCGCAGATCTTCTGCATTGGTATGCGTACACAGATGAAAGTAAAAACACAATACACAATGTACAATTGATGCCACGTTTATCCCAAGAGAAAAATGCTGCTTTGAATGGAAAATCCTGCTCCGAGCTGAAATAATAATAATAATAATATCACTTTATATTCTTAACTTAATCCAGCAGTACAAGTCAGAGCACTGCGAAGCTGCAGACAACAATACAGCCATGGAGCTGATGGGTCAAACCCTGTGCTGATCTCGGGGGACCTTCTCGGTGCATAAGGCTGAGTGTCTAATCTTATAAACCGGGATCACAACCGGAAAAGTAGGTTTTACAATTATTACAAAAGGTGCATTCAATGAACTCATGATGAGGAAAATCAAACCACAGGCAAAGTGACGCCAAAGTGGAGAACGTAATCCTCCTTCTCCGGGTGGTCCAGATAAACAATATCTGTCGACGCGAGCCGAGAGCGGCATCGATCCACTCAGCGTGTCTCCAGGACGCCTCGGATGCAAGCTGGAGCAGCTGAAGTTCATCCACCTTGATCTACACTGAACTAACATTGTGCTTCTCTCTCCTCCCGTGTTTCACTGCGTGGAGAAAATGGGCAACTTTCTCTAGAATGTGCAACGATCTACTTGGGGCTCATTTTCGGTTTGGCTGAACTTCAGAATACATTTTGACACACAGCAAGGACTGTGGACCGAAGGTTAACGCTCCCCGCTCCCTCACGGACTAGATCAGCCATGCTGTGATATTGATGTGTAAACTCTTAAGGGCTTGATAAGCCACTCGGGGCGATTCTTACATGAACATCAGCCATGAGGGGCTGTGGCCAGATCTCTCACCATGTTGCATAGAATGTTCATCATCAACAAAACCACTAATTAGGTATGGTAGAACAGAGGTTATCCAGACCAAGCAGAGTTTATGTATTCAACATTAAAGTGGGCTGTAAAGCTGCTTCAACATCATCTGTACAAAAGCGCTGCACATTGTCATCTTCACTTAGTTCACTGCTGAAGATGTGACCCAATTATCTCCCTTTGTGTATCACGTTCACTTCTCGGCGAGAACCGAAGGAAAACGTTGCATGTGATCCTCCGTGGTTTCCCCAATCACAACATCGCTGTACTCTGAGTTGAATTTAAAGTGGTAATGCACGCCATACGTGGAGGACCACTAACGCATCAGCGTACAAAGAACACAGCGTAAAAACACAGTATTGTGAATGACGCGCTCCGTCAATATCTAAAGAAATCACACAAGTGGCTTAATGCAAATAGGCCCTCCTAGTGTTTAATGTTTCTACATAAACCTTCTGTTTATCCATATGTCCTATAAAATATAAATGCTGTGTGGGCTTTTCTCACCGAAGATCTAATTAAGGAATCAATGTATTTACATGCTGGTTCTGTAAGAATACCGTTATCTGATAACAGCATGCTAGAAAACAACATTTATTCTCACTGACAGAGGCCTCATCATGTGCCTCCTTGAAAGGAAAATCAACTTGTCCAACAAGTGATTGGAGTCGGCTCTATAATATATTTTTACTTTTATAATACATATTAAGCTCAACCTTGATGCGCCTGACGAATGATATCCTGTTTAGAAGAGAGTTCAATCACGGGTCCTTTTTGTTACATAATTAGAATTTGGGAGGGAAAGGATGCACTTTTTTTTTTAAAAATGCTAACCGCAAACTCCACTTTCTCAGTTAACGTAAGGAGCGCTCGGGTGACAGGTCTGTATTTTTAGGGGTAATCCAGTGAGGAAAACGATGTGTTGGACAGCGTGTGGCGACGAGGGGTGTAAACAGAATAAACCCACCGTAGCGTGGAGAGCGCTGGGGTCGTTTTCTGGGGCAGAAGACATTGATTGAGACAGAACCGAGAGGTGTTCTTTGTTCAAGTCAGCATCTGGACAACAGAGCCCCAAACACCACCACCCCCCTCCTCCCGGAGCTCGACATCCGCCCCCAGACACTTCTATTTCAAAGCTGTCAACTTAGCGGAAGCGTATCCACGGTGAATCGAAACTTCTTACGAGTGCTTAAACGGTCATTCCTGCAGGACAGGCAGAGACGTGTCCTAAGTAGTACAAAGTGGGACTTGGCTTTGTCCCACTTGTGGGAAGAGGCTTTGGCTTTAAGTGCTCAAAAGTGGTGTCAGACTTGTAAACCCGGCGGAGGGGACGCGGCGTCTCCTCTGCAAAAAGCACCGTCACTCAGCTGCTATTTCTGCTGAAGTGCTAAGCGTCAACTGCAGGCTTCAGTCACTCAGAGCTCAGTGAGACAAGGAGGGAGAGGAATGTCACAGCGTGCTAATTGGAAAGCTCTAGGGTATCAACTCCCCTCATTGCTAGTTTATTATTTCCTTCTGCTCGCTCAGAGCCCATTAATGGATTCATTAATTAACAGTTCTCAGGTCAGCCACAGGTGTGCATTACCGCTAGAGGAGGATCACCTGCTTTTCTGAGGTCGCGCTCGCTGACCTAAAAAGGTTTCCCCCAGGAGACATTCCTTTAATTTCTTCTTTCTCCCCCCACGCGAGAAAACGTTTGAGGAGACATCGAGGAGCCGCGGGACGAATTCCCACCGCTGCGCCTCACAGCCGGTGAAGAGAAGCTGCTCTCACCGAGAGTCAGAAACATGCAACGATTTGTACCTGCCGCAATACAAATTGTACCAGTTATTGGCAGTGATCAAAGAAAGGAAAGTAAGGAGCAAGAAATGCTCTTGCTGCTCCACGACCACAGCATATACACATGTGTAATATATATATATATATATATATATATTATATATACACACACACACACACACACACACACACACACACACACACACACACACACACGTACATACATACTGGGAACTTGCTCATGCTGGTGGACAATGAAGTCAAAGAGTCAATAGACCATTAAGGGACTTTCAAGTACAACTGCAGCATGAGAAGATGTGGAACAATACGACGGCAGTAACCCCTCTTTTTTCGCCGCCCTTTTCACACGCAAACAGGTGCAAAAATCTTGCGGATAAAACGTGAAAGGTGAAAGATGAAGGCGCCGCAGGTGTCACTCGCTGAGCTTTAAAACACGCTAAAGACACGCTAAAGACACACAGTTTTTTATACAGCTCTCTGACTGATGTTTCGACTTCTGAGTTCAGAGGCTGTGAATTCTATGACGCATTTACAGAGGAGGGCTTGAAGGAGAAGAAACCGTATGTATCCATATAAACTGTAATCCATGCCGAATCCCATGCACTCACACACAGACACAGACACACACACACACACATGCACGCACATGAGAATACACACATTATATTCATGAACAGACAATGGGACCGGTTTGCACCACAAATCCCCTCGAATAAGAAATTAATCCCATTCTATCCGCTCTTCAATTCAATCAAAGACGTAATAGACAATACGCCGTCCGTCCTTACTACATTTTTCATAATTACGGTTTTAAAAAAAATGTCATGACATCAGCCTAATGTAGTTTTAGATTTATTAATTAACGGAATAGATTTTTAAAAAATAGCCGCACAGCTTTTTGATGAATCACCTTTTCCTCACTCAGCCAGTGTGTGTGTGTGCAAATGTCTGTCCCTTGAAGTGGAGTTTTTTTTGAGGGACAAACACAATGTGGCATGAAAGGAATGATAATAATCAAACAGCATTGTGTGCGTGTGTGTGTGTGGAGCCGTGTGCAGGTGGACCGTCGATCTATACCGTGCAGTAAATTGACCAGTTAAAGCCTGTACTGGTGTCAGATGCTGGAAGTAATCTGACCGTCTGTGTTTGACCAACATGGAGGACAAATACGTGTCCAAACTGTCACCTGCTGTTGATTTCTGGGCAGGGACGTATCTGATAATAATCGGTGAGTACATTCTTTTCTTACTGTATTTCATATTTTCAGCTTGCAAAAATCTATTTTAGGATTCATATTGCTGTCAGCAGGAAGCATAAACCCAGGAGTTAATTGGTTATTTCTATATTCGCCGCGGGTCAAAAGATAAATCGGGATGCATGGTTTAATTGTCACTGTTTTCTTTGGTCTCATGTGATCCCTATGCTGCGTAAGAAAAATATTATTATTATAACCTATAACGTCCAAGCTGTCAGGGTTATTTACATAATATTTCTAACACTGTCTTCCAGTTTGGCAGAGTCTCTCCAACCAAAATTCTCCACTCCAAACAGTATAGTTTTGTATGATTATATATTTTACGGATATTATTTAATGACGGTTACGTCAACAGTATGAAAATGAGCTTTTTATCTCTTTGGGCAGAGTGAATACAGGCTTGCATGATTTTATCTGGTTTTCGCGCCTATAATTTCACCTGGATGAGTCGGCATCTTGTTTTTGGGAAACTTTAATATGCTGATAGAGACCAGGACACTGTGGCGAGTGGACACGTTATGCAGGCTCCTGATAGCCGATTGTCAGCCAGGCTGCACGGAAATGAGCCGAGGAATCCAGACACACACACACACAAATACACCGCAAATTATCCAAAACCCGGAGAGTGCCACAAACCAGGTTCCTAATCTTTCATGTAAATGCCATTTCACCACACAGAAATGTGCGTCTTAATGAGTACCTGCAGGGGAAGTTCGGTCACTTCCCTTCCTCTCCGTATGAGATCGAGATTGCCGTTCACCTCAGTGCCGTTGTCATGACCCAAATGGGTTGATCCCAGACCCGGGTGGAGCATCGGTCCATTGTTGGGAGATGGATTAAGATTGAGGATCATCCGTCACTAGAGAAACAGGAGTTCAGAATTCATCCAAAAATGTCTTGAAAGTCATATAACGGCATCATATAATCTTAATATTTCCCCTTCATAAGATCTGTACTGCTTGTACCACTATGTCTTGGTAAACCCAGTTGCAGCATGCAAATAACTGACAGACATGAGGGGTGGGGGGGAGAATTCAATCAATTGACAATACAGCTTTAATTAAGCTGCTTCGAGCTCCATGCTGCTTCCTTCGCTGCCACCAGCAGAGCAATGCAAACGTTCAATTACAACAATTACAATCGCTGCAGGTGGCTGGCGATTGATTTCACGCTGCGTCGTCGAACCAACACTTGTTGAGTGAGATAAAACACGCAGTGAATGAAGCAAACACCCCTGACACACAGGCAGTTAGACATATCTTAATACGCATACAGATTATTATTAAATTTGCACTGTACTGAAACAGTATGTCACACGTTGACACTATTTCCCTGATACCGTAGCATGATTAGCTTAGCTAGCTAATTTATCGATGTTCAAGCTAGCTTCCAACTGGCTAGCTAACCTATAAATTAACGTTACTCCGAGCCAATACAGCCCGTTAATAAACTACTCCACGGAACTGAAACATGCTAAATTGTATTATTAACACAGTGAACACCAGTGAAAGAAACTGACGTTAACATACCTGAAAAACGGAGTATTTCCTCAGCTCACGTTCGCGCTAATTGAGAGTAGGCCGCGAGCTCCGCCTGGTGGAGGGGGGCGGTAAGGCCGCGTGCTCCGCCTGGTGGAGGGGGGCGGTAAGGCCGCGTGCTCCCCTGGTGGAGGGGGGCGGTAAGGCCGCGTGCTCCCCCTGGTGGAGGGGGGCGGTAAGGCCGCGTGCTCCCCCTGGTGGAGGGGGGCGGTAATTGCCTTTAAGGTGCTGCTGACAGAAAGCATTATCAAGCATGAAAGTATCGTAAAACGTAAATAAAATACTGTATGTATCAGGGAATTGAAATCTTACTACTTGATATATTATTAGGAAGAAACATCCGATAAAACTCGCTAGCATCAACACAATAAGCAAAGGTCGTGGAGGTTTTTTGTGTCAGTTGCATCCATTGGGTGGACTTTTTTGCCAAACCCTTCAGCAATCTGACCACCTTTTGTAACCTCCCCCCTCCCTCCCCTTTTATGCTCCTCAAAAGAAATCAATTAATGCAACTTTAAGGGTCGACTCAGGAAGCACAATCCAATAAAAGCAATTTGCTTTTAAGTGCCTTGCTATTTTTTTCTTCTTCAAATCATCAAAATCATGTCTGATCCTTTGAATTTGGGACTAAAAAATACTTGTGATTACAGCCCGGGTGGTATTGATGATGGCAGACTACCAAACGTTTTCGCTTCTTCTGAGGCAACAGTGTGCAGAGACACGGTTCTACCAGTAAAACAAATCCCCATTTCAGTGCCACCAAAAGGGGACAAGTTCTAACGAGACAAGTCCAGCGTTTTAAAATCCATAGATATTGTGATTTCTTAAAATGTTACTGACAAGCAGAACAGGGCTCCCACCAGAAGGCCAGTGTATGGTGGTTTCCCACACTGTTGACCAAAGCAATATTAAGGCCGACCATGGTGTTTTGTTGCGGTGACCTAGTTTTCTTTATTACCATAATGTCGTCCCGGTGAAAGAAAGTCGTGCCGTGGGACATTTTGTGCCCCTGGACAAGAAACAAGTAGATTGCATTTTGTGACTATTTCCCAATTGCAGAGCGACCGTGTTGCTGCAGGAGAGTAAACCGGTTGATCCAAAGCGCACAAACACGCCAGCAGCTGTTAGTGATGTTCGCTACCAGTTAATTGGTCCTGAAACACATTCACGAGAGCCTTTCAGTCAGCGTCAGCACGACTTTGCCCATCGCAAAGGCAGAATGGTTTAAGCCAAATAAGCGATTGATTGTATTAGTTAGAGAGAGTTAGAGCCCTTCGCCTTCAAGTGAGGAGGCATGCAATCAAACTGCAACAAACACTCAACAATTCACTGGAGTTTTTCCATTATCGCATATTACCTGTGTTCTTAGTCAAATTTGATCTCAAAATGAACGGCACACAAGAAAATAAAACTGTTCCCATTATTTTCTCTTTGGAGAAATCAAGCTCTTGTTTCCTTTTAAAAGATAACAGCATGAACCTTCAATGCGCGCTGCAGCAATTATCAGCACGCACCAAGTCAATCTTTAGACGTGTGCAGGTGCCGGAGAGAAAACTAAATCTTTACGGATGATAAAGCCTGAAGAAAAGGTTCACATTAAGGGCGCCTTGTCCAGTCAATGAAAAATCTCATTGCTTGTTGGAGCGGATCACCGCAGATAAGTGCTGCAGCGATCAGATCGCCTCGTTCCAATGTCAGGTGGTTGCTGTGGTTCACAGATAAGACGTTCACATGTTTGGTATTCTCCAACCCGAAAAGTTGTCGGTTCACAGGTTGCTGAAAGACAATCCGATGAATCAGCGAACGAGAGAGAGGAAACATATAGATACGTATATATTAGGTTCTTACAATCTGTGAAAATCTGCTAATAGAAAACACTGAGGTCTTGTTCAGTCGATGTGATTTATGAAAGTTTATGAATGCAAAGCATTCGGGTCAAGTTCCCCCTCAGAGAGAAAAGATGATGTTAGCACTCCTCTTGTAAATAATACTCAATTCCATTTTCTAACCGATTGCGACATCAAACTGTGTCTACAGTTCGTTGTTATTATTATTATTATTATTATTATTTATATTCAGGGGGGGTTGGTTTCCCCTGTTTGAAGTCGTCATGCTGAGATCAACGAGCCTCCTGCAAGCAGCTTCACATTTAAGGTGCAGATATGTGCACAGTGTTGATCATCTAATTCTCTAAAAACAGGCTCATTCGTTTATCAAATCAAATTCCATCTAATGTTTTTACACATTATAGTTCATCCCCGCATCTTAAACCAGTTTTATTTATATATATATTCAATGAACACGGATATCTAAAATGATTGTCGTCCATCCATCTTGAAAGCAGCTTATCCTTCGTACAGGGTCGCGGGGCGGCTGGAGTATCGTCGTGCGCACAACGTAACTTCAACATGAACAGCAAGCTTTGAATTACAAATCCGCCCCGGAAGCAGCGGAGGAGATTACTGAGGCCCATTGGGCTCACATTATAATAATGAATCTCCTGCTCCACGTGATCGCCACAAAAACCGATGGGTGAGGTCAATTATCGAAGTGTGTTTTTCCAGACGCCACCGTTTATCCTCCGTCCTGCTCTCGCCCCCCCCCCCCCTCCCCCCCCCTCGCAGCCGTCCTGTCCATCTTCGGGAACACGGCGATCCTGGTCAGCGCCGCCCGCCGCTCCGGCCCGCTCAAAGCTCCCGAGCTGCTGACGGTGAACCTGGCGGTGACGGACCTGGGCATGGCCCTCAGCATGTACCCTCTGTCCATCGCCTCGGCGTTCAACCACGCCTGGATCGGCGGCGACGCGTCTTGTCTCTACTACAGCCTGATGGGGATGATCTTCAGCATCACCAGCATCGTGACGCTGGCCGTGATGGGGATGGTCAGGTACCTGGTGACAGGAAATCCACCGAGGAGAGGTAGGGTAATCTCACACGGTGGAGCTTTCTAAAAGAAATACCTGCTTTGATTAGATCGAGCAGACGATCTAATCAAAGGTGACCTTTTTGTCTTAAATCGCCCAGAAGCCATTTAGATTTTCAGCAATCACAGACCTTTCCGTTCTGTACCGACACGGATTATCGACGGGGCCGAACTCATAACGTGAGCCAAAGTAATTTATCACTACCTCATCGATCTGTTTAAAACTGAAGACAAGATAAAATAGGAAAAGAACATTTATTTGCCATTCAAGATTACAAAAAAAACGAGAGCAAAGAAATAATAGAAGGAAAATATAAACATATATGATAATATATGAGCAAAGAATAAGAGCAACGTGAATAGTAATAGTAATAACAGCATGTAACATGGGATAGAATAGCAATGATAATTAGTAAAAAGTAAAAATTTCAACTAAAGCACATAAATATAATAAATACAACAACAAAGGTGAATTAGATTCAGGCATATCTGCGCTGGAAGCATTGAAACGGTCCATCGGAGTCACGCCCATAATCAGTGATCTCGCACACGCGGTTTGAAGTCGCAGTCTGTGGGATTTAGTGGCATCTAGTGGTCCGGTTCCAGACAGCGTCTAACCGAATACCCCAATTCAACCTGCATCCGACTCTTCATCACAGCATCTTCCGCCCGGCAAACGCACCATTTAACAACAGACAGACAGTCCGACACGCTGCAGGACGCAACCACAATGCTGCCGTGCAGCTGAGCCAGCCGACCCTGAGATTGTTGTTTGTGCGCCAGGTCTCCGGCTCCAGAGGAAAACCGTCAGCATGGTGATCGGCGCGGTCTGGCTGTACTCCGGCCTGTGGGCCCTGTTTCCCCTGCTGGGCTGGGGCAGCTACGGCCCGGAGCCCTTCGGACTGGCCTGCTCGATAGACTGGAGCAGCTACGGGGAGTCCCTGAACCGCTCCACCTTCATCATGACCCTGTCCGTGCTCTGCACCTTCCTCCCCTGCCTCGTCATCTTCTTCACCTACTTCGGCATCGCGTGGAAGCTGCGCAGGGCCTACCAGTCCATCCGGAGCAGCGATTTTCAGCACGGGAAGGTGGAGCAGAAAATCACTCTGGTGAGTACGAGACGACCGAAGCTGCGGTGACGTTCGGTTCGGTTAGTAGCTGCCGCCACACAACCACGGCAAACTGTTGCAGCGCTGAAGCCTCTGAGGCCGGCAGGCCCACTTAAGTGCAGAGTCGTCGGGGGAATGCTGAGTGCACCGTCACATCTGCGAGGCTTTTACAGATGTTTATTTATATCTGTTGTCGCTCGGGGTCGGGCAGCAGGTTAGTGTGTCTGCAGGAACACGAGCAGGCCCTGACAAAGATCAGAGGGGAACGCGTCCAGCCGATCCACAGATTGTGCTCGACGGAGCGCGCGGGGTCGGCCGCTGGTCACGACTTTTTACACGTCGGGGTTCCTGTGAAGACAACCGATTTGTTTGTGTGAGAGTTTGTGCCCTGCGGACGCGGCTGTCGAGTGAGTGCGTGTGTGTGTGTGTGTGTGTGTGTGTGTGTGTTAGAGTGAGTGTGTTTGAGCTGCCGTTTCGGTAGCGTAACTTCATTGATTAAGGGTCAAACAGGCGAGAGATGGATTTGTTCTTTTCCATCATGACTTGTTGATACATCGGACCACTCCATTTATTCTGTCCCCCCCCCCCGTGGGGGCTCCACACTTCACAGGGTCCTCAGTGGATAACAGTCCACTTACCATTAACCGCTGTTATTTGAGATGTCTTTGATCATCTAGCAACAGTGAATATTTTAAATCATATAGGTGCAGAGGGAGATAAGCCACTCTGATTGGTTTATATTCCTCTGTGAAGTGCTCCTTTAGTGACATGATGAGAGTATTGACAATGGGGAATATTTAAATTATAAATATATCAATCTCGTATGTATGGAATGGTGCTGTCCTTCCTCATGAATCTAAATTGTTATGTATAATAATGACGCGGTGGAGCCCCCCTCCCCCCCCCGGCCTAATAGAGTGACTGCAGCTCATCTCCCCTGACGTTCACCTAGATTCATCTTAGATGACGATGGCGGCCTGCGGTTCTGTCCTGGCTTTACAGCCATGGTAACTAATAATTATACTTGTGCCCATCAGTGCTGAAAGGCCTCGCTGCCTCTGCAGATAGACGTACTGGGGGGGGGGGGGGGGGGGGGCATGTTACACAATCAGCATCCTGCTCAATAACATCACATCACCAGCTCCAGGCTCGAAACACATATTTTGAGCTTATTTGCCTCCTTCTGTCCTCTGGTCTCCTTCACTGAACTCCTGCTTCCTGCTTCCTGCTGCAGATGGCTGCGATGATCAGCTCGGGGTTCCTTTTCTCGTGGACCCCCTACGTGGCCGTCAGCCTCTGGAGCATGTTCCGCTCCCGGGAGCACATCCCTCCGCTGGTCGCCCTGTTGCCGTGCCTCTTCGCCAAGAGCTCCACCGTGTACAACCCCTTCATATACTTCATCTTCCAGCGGAGCTCCTGGCGGGAGCTGCTCCGCCTCCACAGACACCTGCTTTGTTGTTGGCATCGGGCCAGCCCGCCGGCGGAAGGGCGGAGGCTCCGAGGCGAAGTGGCCAAAGCTTCTGACTGCACCGTTTTGGAGAGCGGGGCCGACGGAGCCAGCGGGGGTCAGAGGGCGGCTCCTGGGGGGGAGCCTGTGAGTCAGATGATGCCTTTGGGTTAGTACATGTAATGAAGTCAAATGCTACGTGTCAAACTATTTCTTGGGCGTGACATCTGTTTCCCCCCGTTTCCAGTCTCGGCACTTATTCAAGCTAAGCTAAGCTAAGCTAAGCTACGAACGTGTTTTGAATCTTCTCGTTGGTACGTGGCGGATGAGATCGAAACAGTTTTTTTTTTGTAAGTTCAAGCCGCGAGGTCAACGCGGGTGGAGCCAGAACGTGTGTATTTGACTCCAGACATCTGCATCAGAGACCCTAACATGTCATCGATTGCACGCGCGTCCTTCCCTCGGCCTCTCGTCTGTCTCTGATGAACTCCGGTGAACTCGGCGATGAAGGTTCCTCCTCGTGGCTCGTGTCCACCCGGCGGAGCAGCACCTGTACTTGATTGACGTGAAATAAATGAATAAAAAGGTTTACGGTGTGTACGGCCTTTCTTGTTTGTTCCACATGAACGGCGTTCGTTTTTCATAGATTAGAGAAAGAATGATTATCTTGTGTGATTTAGCAGAATGGAGAGCAATCAAGTCCAAGTAATCACCGCGCAGTTTCATGAGGGAGCTGACTGACAGGAGTCTGTAAGAACATAGTAACAAACACTTCTTCTCATAGTCCTTTTTTATTCTGTTCCCCACAGCTTGTGTCCATTAATCGGCCAAGTTGCTTTGGTTCGTTTTGGTGCAGACACACGTTTCATTGCATGCGGTGCAGTTTTCTGATTGACGCTGCGGACTGAAATACGAAGGGAAGTGATGTAAACAAACGAAACGCTTTCACATGTGTATTTCACAGCTGACGCAGAGTTCAGCCTCAACGAAGGCAAATAAAAGCCGCGGACTTTCCTTTAAAACGCCGCGTGCTGAGCGTTCATCAGAGCGGCTTATTCATAACAGGTTCACCCTTGGGGATGTATTGAGCTTTTTATTTTATTTTAATTATCTTTCAGTGACGTTTTCACACCGATCCATCAAACCTTTCCATCGGGGGGTGGTTGCCAATAATTAACTGCATCTAAAGTGTTTTTATCCGTGTATTTGATTGACACTCCGTCACATAGGTTACTAATTATCTTTCCAATTATTTTCTACCTCATTAAGCATTCAAAGAGTTATTTAATGTTATGAAGTCTGTATAATTATATAATCTCCAGACTCTTATTAAAATATGCTATTTTATTATAAATGCGTGGATCCATATCTGTCCAGTGTGTCCTTCCTTTCACCCTTCTAGAAGGTCTTTCAGAAGGCCTTCGTGTTCCCTGGAGGAGAAATGCTGCAGTGTGTGTGCTCAGTGAAAAGGACTCTCACAACAGAGAGAAGAAGAACAAAGAATCCCCACAGATATATTTACGTCCAATCAGACCACTTCTGCAGAAAACTGTGCACCACAAGCACCTCATCATACAACACTTCCGTCATTTTCCTCCCGGCCCGGCGTTTTGTTTGTACACAATCAGTTCCTTTAGATAAAGCGAAGACTGTCTGATGGAGCGTTTGAAAATAGGGAATCAATAAGAAAGTCATTTTCTGAGCCATCTGTTTACCTTCCGGCCGCGCGGGGGAAGTGGTGCCCGCACAGAATGCACTGACGTAAGTACAAATCAAACATAACTATGAGCCTGCAAATGCTGCGCGCGGATCAAAGGCGAAGGGATTCTAATAGTACGGTTTTAAAGAGAAGTGGGAAAACATTTTTCCAACAGCTACGTGCCTCTCGGCCCTCCTCAAGTCGGAGCTCAGTGGGTTTCTCTCCCCCTGACCTTCCACTCTCATGGAGGAGCTCATGGAGGAGCTCCGGACAGGTTCTCCACCGGGCTGGAGAGCGAGAGGAGGAAGAGAGTGTTGAGTCATGTCTCGAGAGAAGAGGAAGAGCTCAAAAACGCGACGCGGCAACAAAATCTGCTACTTGCTGTGCGGCTTTAGTCCTTGTGAAAGCTTTTATTATCCCGGGGTTTGAATCGGCTTTTTATTCTGACGGATGAACCAGACCCACCTCGAATAAAAGCACTTAATGCGTCTCCTCTACTTTTGTTGTGAGAATCGTACCTTTGTGTGTGCCGCTAGATATGAAATCCTACACTGCTGCTTTCACAATGAACCTGTAGTTATTTCGTCCGCTTCGTCCAACGTAAACCATCAAAGTTAAAACCATAATGTCAACGTGTCTGGAGGATTCAACCATTGGGATTCTGCAGGGTCCCTTTAGCGCCGCCGGCTTGAGTCTCTGCTGTCGGTGTTGCCCGGACAGGCTCTTTGATTAAGCATGAACGTACCGGTGACCCCTTCCCCTCCGGCTGTAACGCTCCAATCGACACCTCTCACCTCCAAAGAAACTTGTATTTAAACTGTGCCTTGAACTCTGACCGACCGGTATTGTCTCCTTTTAACTCTAACCCATTCCGACAAAGTGGTGAAATAAGACACCTGCGTCTTGTCCTGCTGACAATCCCGTCCCCCCGACGTCCGACCGCCGTGTCGGCCATTTCCTATCGCAGGTGTCCACAGCGAGTCCCAAGCTGGGTGAAAAAAACTGGATCAATCTCCACGATAAAAACACTTTTTTTTCAGACATTTGTCGGATAAAGATCTCTTTTCTGCTCCTCTTCTGTTTCTATCAAAAGGCTGTTGATTTCCAATAAAAGACGACCACAGTGAAAAACGAATTTGTTTCATAACTGCGGCTCATGTTGCGATCCTCAATGAGGGCAGTTCATCCACGTAGAAAAATACTCCTAAGAGCTGTGACTCTTGATGCGACGTGCTGCTTCATATTAAAGTGACTTTGGTGAGCCGACTAAAGATGTCAACGTGCCAGAAACTTCAGTCCTGCTTGACTGAGTGAAGATATCTCATTGAAGACAAGAGGCACCAAACATGGCCGCAGTGATGGTGTCACAAATACTAAGGGCAACACAAGGGGTTTTATTCCCATTTGTATTCGTCGTGCTTACGGCCTCCACAGCCGCTGCGGGTGAGTAGTTGCTGTTTGTGTTGTTTATTTTAAATAATCCTCATCCTGCAAATGCAGAAAAGTGACCAAAAAGTGCAAAGTTTTGTTTCTAGAAAGCAACCGGTTATCACAAATTACCCACCCAAAAAATCAGCTGATTAGATGAGATAATGTGACATTAGTCTTATATTCGGGTTGACTTCATCATCTCGGGTGAAATCTCGGGTAAACCCTTTCAAGTAGAAGGCCCTGCAGGAGAACTTGTGGAGCCTGGTTTAGTGGTGGGGGGGGGGGGGGATGAAGGGAGGGGCTCCCATAAGTGTGCGGAGCTAATATAGCATTTTTAGCTGGCTCACTTTTTAAATGTTTTAAACGTCGTGATGGATGCACGGGTCTAACCCTGGTTTAACGTCTCTCTCTCTCTCTCTCTCTCTCTCTCTCTCTCTCTCTCTCTCTCTCAAGTCCCTCCGTCTTTACGCACCCCTGCCGCTCCGCGGGGGGGCCTGCGCGCGCCGCTGCGCGCTCTGCGCGTCTCGCGCCGCTGCGCACCTATAGGCTGCGCGCGGACACATGGAGCTGACGCATCAGCAGCGGCCCATTTGGACTTTTTCTCCATCCCATGAAGACGGATACTTGACTGCCTGCTGCCCAGTCTGACCCCGTGTCGCTGATGGACATCTACGCGTCCACGTTGTCTCCAGCGGTGGACGTCGGCGCAGGCTGCTACCTGCTGTTTGTGGGTGAGTTTGAAAAGCTGGAGGAAACAAGCTGCCGTGTTTTAGCTCAGTTGTGGGACAAATAGTGATACGTTTCCATGGTAATCGTGTCTTTGAGGGGAGTCTCCCGGTTTTCTCCCCTAGACTGTTTCTCCCCCTTCAGAAAACTTTCAGAAAAACACTTGTTTTCAAAGCGAGAATGTAAATCCATCCCCACCATGAAAACCTTTCTATTTCAGGACTCAATTAAGATTGTCCCTGCTGAAGGTTATGACTCCTGAGAGGAATGTCCTCCAAAAGACAAATGCGTAAAGGAGACACATTTAGTCTCATACAACACATCGTGCTGTGATGGAAACATGGAGTCCCTTCATGTGGACTGTAAAGGAGACACACTGATCCAGTGGCTGTTTGTCTCATGTGCTCATTCACAGGTGTTTGCTGTGAGATATTTGAACATGTGTCCCGCATTGATTTACACTTCAAACATCTGGCAGCAAAGCCTCAACCCGTCGTGATTCCTGCTCGTGTCCTCCCTCCACGGGGGGTCTCTCGTCCCACGGAGCCAATTAGATGGAGCAGCAGGTGTACGCAGCGATGGGAATGTGACACCCACAGAAACTGCAGCCTGTCTGTCTGTATTATGAGGCAGTGAATGTGTCGAATAATGGATAACGGGTGGCTGTGTTTCCATTAGAGAAGCAGACAGAAAACTGACGCATAATGGACAATTAAAACCCGTCACACAATAAGACTGATTGGTTCACCATAACGGAATAAAGGAGTTGGATTCCTTTGACGTCTGCACGTCAGCCCCACTCAGTCCCTCCTCATCCACCCGGTGGGCTCTCTGTCCTCGTCGTTTTGACCTTGAAATAAATCTGACTCAACCGATTGAACAGCATCAACATACAGAATATTGTGTAACATAAGAGCTGCGCTCTAAGTGCGCCCTGTCACCTTTATTTCTGTGTTCTTTTTAGTGCAGTATGGTAACAGCCAAATGGAGCATATGGAGGATAATAAGAACAAATTGAGCAAAAAAAGTAAAAAATAGATTCTGTTCCAATGATACAGTCTTTGCTGTGTAAATGACGCAGTGGTGACGATTACTTCTTATGAGGCGTGCATAACCTGATTATACTATTAAGCATGTAACACACACTTCTCCCAGCAGCGTCGGATTAGAGAATCAGAAGGTAACCTGGCGGCTGTGATTCAGGCCACCGGGCCTCTGGGCGGCTTTGAAGAAGCTGAAGAACAGTGCGTGTGGTGTTTTGCAGGGAGACACGCTGCAGGTTGAAGTTGGTTTTCATTTGATTATTTATGGAATTCTTAACCACACTGCAGAGTAAGGCTAAAAGTTTAAATTTAAATCCAGGCCGTCACCGAAAAAGAAAAGAAGCAGCTACAGCATTTAGGCCGAAGGGAAGAAGACAACACCCGGACCCTTCCTGACCCCCCATGTCTTTTGTCCCTACAATCCCCTGGGTCTCATATTATAAAACAACATGTCCCGCTCCGTACCAGCCCAGGACGAAAGGTCTCTGCTGCCTCCGGCCACAGGCTACTTGGGATTTAATAGATTTAGGGACTCCAGGAGTCCCGAGGGATCCTTTGGATATTGGTTGGAACAATGCGTTGTACAAATGTGCATGAGTATCTTTTGAGACAGCAAGGCCGTGCACGTGACGTGGATGCACACGGCCCTCCTAACATGGTCATGCTATTGGGCTCTGAGAAAGAGAAAACATCACATCAATTGCTTTGAACTCATTGTACCCTAAATAACTTCCAAAAAGCCCTCAAAGTACTTAAAGCGTCTGCAGCTCAACCGTACTAATTACTGTGTGCTGGTACTTCAGAGGAAACATTGGTGCCTCCGACACGGATTCCGTGCTTTATAGTTGGATGATGAGTATTTATAAGGACATTTAGTTTGTTACTGTTGTGTCCACAACATCCATGCGTCCGGAAGCCCCCGTTCTTCCGCCTCCCCCACGGCTCCCCCTCCTCACCCCCCTTGCACCATTATTGAGCCCTGTTAGAATTATTTTGAAGAATCCTAATCTCTTTTCATTTTTTATTATGCTCCGTATTAGTGAATGTCCGTAACATTACTGTGTGTGTGTGTGTGTGTGTGTGTGTGTGTGGTCTGGCTCATGCTGTCAAATAAGGTCAATGTGCTTACTACTGTGTGTGTGTGTGTGTGCGTGTGTGTGTTTAGCCATCCGTTCTCTGCTAAAGCAAAAGGGGCAGAGGAAACCCGGCTTCCTGACCCCAGTAAAGGTCGGTTCTTCAGAAGGTGAGAGCAGCGTTCACCTTTAGGTGGCAGCCACAGATGCAGAATGTCTCTACATGACCGTCTGCTTTTTAATCCTCCTCAGAGTGTTTTCTAAGTGTCTGAAAGCCAATTTCCTTAAAATCCTCCGCATTGATTCTCTTTTGTGTCGTTGCGGCGCGCTGAGAGCAATCGGCTCCGCTGCGCTTTCATAAAGGTGATTATCGGCGAGCTGGAATCAGATGGGTCACTGCTCATTGTGCTTCAGGTTTAGAGTCCGTCTGAGGAGAAAAGGTCCCGGAGAGCCGAATGGGTCCGTTCCTGGGATTGCAGAATGAGGTCTCCCGGCTTTATCATCACATTATTATTTCTGAACCAAATAAGTGGTGATAATTATGCGAACAGCCGCTTCTGCGCTCTCGGAGTGAATCTCTATCGGAAGAGAACATTGACAAGGCTGCTGTCAACCGGAGTGCGAGAGTTCAGCGTGCTGAGAAATTATTCATCAGCTGTCAAAACCAGAAGCGGAATCGGTTCACCTCAAAAGCCACAGGCACCAGAGAGTGAGCGCAGAGCCCCCCCCCCCCCCCCCCCGGAGGAAGGGGTCTCCCTCTCACGCTGGGCCCCTTTCCAGAACGAAAGCGCTGAACAACCACGGGCCAAACATTACGTCGCCTTTAGCTTGAACTTAAAAAACACAACTGAATCCGAGAAGAAAGAACCCGCGTTGCCATGTTCTGGCGAGGATCTACACGCATGATGCTCCGGGAAGTCATGGACCAAACCACACGTGTTTGTTTTAGTGGCAGAAAATGAGTCCGTCCGGCCGCTCTTACTCTGGAAATGAGATCGACCGTATTTCCTGTCGCCAAGTATGAAATTTCACTTTTGAATCGCTCCTGATTGGTCCCCCCCCCCCCCCCCCTGTCTTTCTCAGCTGTTTTCTCCATCGTGGGAAACCTGCTGGTCCTCGTCATGGCGGTCAAAAGGTCGTCGAGGATGAAGCCGCCGGAGCTGCTGAGCGTGAACCTGGCGGTGACGGACCTGGGGGCGGCCGTCACCATGTACCCGCTGGCCGTCGCCTCCGCCTGGAGGCACCGCTGGCTCGGGGGGGACGCCACCTGCGTCTATTACGCCGTGGCGGGCTTCTTCTTCGGCCTCGCCAGCATCATGAGCCTGACCGGCTTGGCCATTGTGCGCTTCATCGTGTCCCTCAATCTGCAGTCCCCCAGTGAGTAGCTCAAGGCCGGGGGAACCAACCTGCCCCCCCACACACACACACAATGCAAAGGGGGGGATGTTACTGTGGCCATATAAGAGCTAACAATAGTCCAGTTTTCCATCAGAGCTTTTGAATAGCGGCATGAAGTAAGAGACTCACCGACACTCCCAGACACGCCGGAACGGACCGCAGACAGTTGAAGTCTTTCAGACTGAAAATACCAACGATGAACGAACCCGACTGGTTTGACAGGAGTGGCAGCGGATGAAAGAAAAAACACAAACAACCACAGCCGCGCATCGTGCTGTTTTACCGCAGCCGAATGTTGCGGGCGACATTGCGCGGCGCTCCTGGTTTACGGAGAAGTGGACGCGCGCGGCTGTCGCCCCCGGTTACCGTGTGTTGTTTCAGCATCACTCCGGTTGGAGAGCGCGTGCCGGCTCTCATCCCACGTGCACAAATCAACCAAAACATTAGGGATGTTTTAATCAAGTCGAGTAGAATCTAAATAGTGAGACTTTCAGTGTTTAAGTTGTATTATTTTATTATCGGCCTTTGTGGATTTGTGGCTTTTCGTGTTTGTCTCGTGGTCATGTGATGTTACAGCACGCACCACATGCTGTAACAACCTTCCCCTTCTCTCGGCAGACGAGAAGATCAGCTGGAGGAAGGTGAAGCTGCTGTGCGCGTGCACCTGGCTGTACGCGCTGGCCTGGGCCGCGTTCCCCTTCTTGGGTTGGGGCCGCTACGGCCCGGAGCCCTACGGCCTGTCCTGCTCGCTCGCCTGGGGGCAGATGAAACACGAGGGCTTCTCCTTCGTGGTCTCCATGTTCTCCCTCAACCTCGTCCTGCCTTGCGTCATCATCGCGGGCTGCTACTTCGGCATCGCCTTCAAGCTTTACTTCACCTACAGGAAGTCAAACAACAACAGCAACCGCCTGCCCAACGTCGTCCGGCGCCATCGCAGGCTGTTGGCGGTGGGTCACTCGTCTTCTCGCCCGCCGAACGTCGCGTTCCGCTCTGCCGTCTGACCCCCCCCCCCCCCCCCCCGCTCTTTTTCTCCTGCAGATCGCCGTGCTCATAAGCTTAGGCTTCGTGGTCTGCTGGTCGCCGTACGCCGTCGTGAGCCTGTGGTCCATTTTCCACGACAGCGGCAGCATCCCGCCCGAAGTCAGTCTCCTGCCGTGCATGTTCGCAAAGAGCTCCACCGTGTACAATCCGCTGATCTACTACATCTTCAGCCAGAGCTTCAGGAGGGAGGTGAAGCAGCTGTGGCGGCACCTGGGCTCCACCCTGTGCAGCGTCTCCAACAGCGTCAACGACGCCGCCGTCAGCAACACCGGTAAATCCAACGGGCCAGCGATGTCCGCTCTGCAGGAGATCACGGTGTGCAGGATCTCCGACTGAGAGACTTTATTTCACAAATGTTGCAGGTTCTGTATTTTGTCCGGTTCTAAAAGGTGTGTTCTACTACTCTACTCAAACAAGCGGGTTGATTCTGGCCTCGTATGTGTGCATGAATGGGAGGACATGTTTGCACAACGCAGGGAAAGATCCACCAATTAGGCTAAATATTAACTGTGCTTCTAAGTGGCTGAAAGCCCCCTGACCCTCGAATAAAAGGCCGCAGAGTAACAGCGAGGTCTGAATGAAGCGAAAGGAGTTGAAAGAATCGTTTTTTTCAGACAAAACAAGCCAAAGGTTCAACGGCAGAATACGACAACAAGAGGTGTTTACTTTAAATCTGCGGGGTCGATCGGTGACACGAAAACAGGAATTAAAAAATCTCTTTCAGAACATTAACCGATTTTCAAGTCTGCCTCAGAGAATGTTTACAGAAATAACAGATATTGACCGTGTTTACCCCGTTTAATCAATGTGTTGGTTTCTCCTGCTGTGTTTGTTGGATAAGGAATGTGAATTTGTTTTGTTGCAACCAAATTTGGTCCAAAACCATAAAATTGTATTTATATCCTAAATTGTCACGTAGAGCCACCGGACTGCAGGACGTCACCCAAAAGCTCTTATGGCTTCTTTTGTACAAATGTATTTGGGGAATTGTTCATTCGGTGTCCCATTCAGGACGGCCGACCATATTAACACTGCTTTCTTAGCTCGAGCTCCAAAAACGGGTTTTAAAGGTTTAGTTTTTGTGTAGAAAAAACAAACAAGGTAACGCACACATGCTATAGCTATATGTTCTTCTAATTTTCTTTTGTTAAAGTAACTAATGGAGACAACGACTTGAAATGAAATTGATCCTTTAGATTTCAGGAGACTCCTCATAGCGTTTTCCGGGTCTTTGTGCTAAGCTAAGCTTAGCGAAGGAGCTGTGACTCTGTGTTAATCACACAACAATAAATCATTTCAGTCCCTCTCCCCAAAGCTCTGAACATAGTATTTGATTTTCGAGTTCAGCTGCAGAGTTCACGTGTGACTGTTTCAAATAGCGTTTTCGGGTCCCTCCGGCCTCCCGGGGGCTTTCTTCACATCTCGCGCTCCTCAGAAGAACATCGGGTTTGATTCAAGTGGACGAGACGTCGTGCTGCCGCTCAGGATGACAGGACGTCTCCCAATGAGAGTCTAAAGGCACTAAACGCTACCTCGAGCCACGATGGCGCAGGTCCCGCTCGTTGGTACATTTAGTCTTCTGCAAATGCAAAACACTCGGAACGGTGAAAACAAACGATCATTTAGGAGTCAGTGTGTGGCCGATTGTATCGCGTCAACAAATTCCTAATAAAGTACTGAAGTCACTGCTGCAGAACAAGAGCAACTCATTTAAAGGGTTTCTGGGGAGATAATCATTTCACCTCACCGTGCCCCCCCGTGAGACCTGTTCCCGTCTTGCTTTACTCAGGGAATGTTTACGTCTCCTGAACTCACCTCCTTTCAATGAGCTCAGCTGACTAAACGTTTCGCAGCGTAGCTTCCTTTTGGTTTCGTGTGACTTCGAGTCCAGTCACGTCAAATAATTGTGAATGTAGAGCTTGTGAACCTTGGGCACATCTGCGTGTGCGATCCATCGGACACGTTTGGGAATAAACGCTGACTGAATACAATCAAATTGCGGATAATTAATTCACGGTGAGAGTTTGCGCTCAATCACACGTCCCAGTAGGGAAAAATACATGAAACAGTGGCGCTGTGCAATTGCCTTCATAGCAAAGGGAGATCTGACATTTAAGTCTCTTTTCTCTATTCCAAGAAGGCCGTCGCGCGGGTCTCAAAGGAAGTCATTATGGCTCAGTGAGCGTACGAATCCGACTCAGCCGTGTCCAGAATTTCAATGTGTAAATGTACATGTGCAGAACCTTTTTGTGCAGTGTGAAAAATATGAAATGCAGCTTAGAATAAAATAGGCCATGTTGACATTGAATTCTCCCACTTTATATCGAAAGGTGCACATGATCCTTACGCACATCTCCAAAGCTCACTTCAACCAAAGAGCGTTGAGCCTGATTCAAAGTCACACATAGAAAAATCTGCTTTGCAATTTGCAATCACTGTCCTCTGGTTTTACCTCTGAGTGAAGTGTCCCGGTAAACTGCATGAAGAACATTTCCATAAAAATAAACCCACGGGTAATAACGTGCATTTGTACCAATCCACTCCAGCCCCTCGGCACTCATAACACGCGGCTAACGTGGAATTCAAACCGACGCACGCGTTTCACAATGAAAGCATTATGTTCTAAGCAGGTTTCATAGCTCCCATCCCGAGCCGATGTTTCTCACACACGGCGCTGCGGTACCTTTGTTTAGTGAAAGCTATTGTAATTAAATGTGTTGTTGTTAGATTGTTAATAAAGTCTCATTTCTGTCAAATTGTATTCCTGCATTTCTATGCTATCAATAAAGCGGAGAGTTACACACTGAGTCATCATTTATGTGAGGGGGTGTGTGACGGGATATCTCAACACTGTGTTTGTGATCCTAGCTTCTTTTTCTTTTAAGAATAAAAAAGGGCAAATTGAGGTGAGGACATGATTAGTTATTTAAATCACACGTCTTCACAGGCAATGTTAATACAACGGCTTTGAAGGCTGCACATTCAGCATTTTCACGATGGCAAATCACGTTTCTCCGTCGTTGTTGTCTTTTTTTTCTCGTGAGACACAGATTTCGTGTGAGCTTCCACTCGCGTCTTCGTTGTTGATACAACACGACCGGTCCTCGTGGCGGGAGTTCACATGGCCTGCCGGATGTTTTCCAGGCTCTTCTCGATGCTTTCTATCACTTCCACGGCAGCTTGTGGGATCCGGGTTCCCGGGCCGAAGATGGCGCTCACGCCGCTCTGGTACAGGAACTCATAGTCCTGCATACGGGGAGCAGCAGATTAGACGTTCACGCAGGGGGAGACGGACATGCACGGTCCCCATGACAACAGGGAGCCATGAGCACTGGGTGCACAGAGCATCTGATGCAAGGACATCTGTTAGAGTGCAACCGATTATCGCCAGAAATTGGCTTTCCACATGGCTGCTCCCTTGCGTGCTTTCCAAACAATGTTTAATGCCAAATATAATTGGCCGTTTCCGGGCGGTGGAGGCGCGTTGCGTTGCGTTGCACACAGAGCGCTCACCGTGTGGCATGTTGGAAACAAACTGACAAACAGCCCGGGGCTCATTTTGAGATGAAACAAAAAGCCTCCGGGTGGTCTTTCATTATTGAAAGAAAATGCTTTGCACGCTCTGGGGAAAATGTTATGCTTTTATTGACTTTGAAGGACGCCAATGTTAGCTTCCCCCGACCCCATCGCCGCCTTTCAGGGGAAAAGGAACTGCATGCAAGTACCCTCACCGTAACCGCGGAAGTCAGAACTTACCTGTGGGGGGATGACGCCGCCGCAGATGACCAGGATATCCGGCCTGTTGAGCTTCCGCAGCTCCTTGAGGAGCTCGGGGACCAGCGTCTTGTGCCCGGCGGCGAGCGTGCTGACCCCGACGCAGTGCACGTCTGCATCGACCGCCTGCTGGGCCACCTCCAGCGGCGTCTGCTCACCCGGGAGCCCCACGTGGAATGACAGAGACAAGCACCACCATCAGAAAACGCATCACGGCTAAGCTACTTACGTGAGCTTTAGAACTGCAGGCTAAAAAGATGCACCTCAGTCTGGAGTTCAATTCTCATGACATTGATCCAATCAGTAGAAGGCCAGCAGCACAATCTGAGGCTGATTGGACTCTTGAGCTCTAATCATACAGCCGGCTGTGCATCTGCATCTGCAGTGCGTCGTTTCAAAGGGCAACGACCTGACGCTATTAGCTGGACTTGTGGCAGACAAGTCTGAATGCCAATATTTGGCTGCTCTGCCTGGGGAGTAAGCTGACAGAAAGGGTTGAGCCGCTTTTCACTCAGAATGCTCTGGTCTTTTCAATTAGATGTAGTTCAAAAATTAACAAAATAAACTATAAACGAAAACGTATAATGAAGAAAGGGTTATTTCGATGGAGCAGACTGGGAAAGAAGTGAAAGTGGGGAATTGTATTCCTCATATTAGGGCCCTTAAGCATTAAAGAGACCTGTGAGTTTGCAGATGTGTTCTAAAATACAAAGAGGTGTATGAAGAACACTGTAAGGAGAACAGCTAAATAACCACTAAGATATCCACGCTGATCCAAGTGAACCAAAGCGATATTTCCCCCCTACATCTATTCCTTACCTGCTACACTATCGCTGCATTGATTCACATTTCACGATTACATCTCAACGACTGATATAATTAAGCCTAAATGCACGTCTTCCTTTATTTAACTGGGTCACACTGACCTGAAACAGCGGTCCGATGTCTACGTCAAAGCCCAGGTCGGCGAACCCTGTGGCGATGACTTTGGCCCCCCTGTCGTGACCATCCTGCCCCATCTTCGCCACCAGCAGTCGAGGGTTCCTGCCCTCGTGCTTCTTAAAGTCTGCGACTCTGTGAAAGGGGGGGAAATGAGAAATGCAATCAACCGGTCCGCGGATACCGGAGGCGGAGATGCCGTTTGGGTGGATTCTCCCACCTGTTGAGGGTCACGGAGATCTCGTCGCGCTCGCCGTATTCGCTGCGATAAGCGCCGCTCACCATCCGGGTGCTGGCCTTGTGCTCACCAAACACCTTCTTCATGGCGTCGGTGATTTCACCGACCGAACATCTGCGTTTATAAACGACAACGATACGTTTTTTTGGATTGGTGCACAACTCCGTGTAATGCAGACTGGGAGACTCGTGATTCTAATCCGTGTTAAGCCGTGTCTCATCATGTGGGCTCCTTGTCACAGCTTTCTTTTCCTGGAATGGACTCATCAGTATCAGTGTCTACGCTGCTTTATCCTCACGTGGGTGGGCCTTGTGTGTACACTGTGTGTATGTATATATACAAAAATATATATATATAAAAAAACTACTGTTTGTATGTAGATCAATGGCTCTTTTCCTTTACCGTGAATAGAAATGGGATTTTTGAGTGTTCCGCTAGCTGCAAAAGAAGTGTCGACTCACTGAGGTCGAGGAACTAGAGACCTTGGGGGGTGAATAAACGGCATTGTGCGCATGCATCCGTACCTGGCTCGCGCTGCCTCCACGGCCAGCGCCAGGAGGTTGCCCTCCCCGGTGCGCGCACACGCCTCTATGGCTGCCAGGCACTTGTTTGCTGCCTCCGGGTTGCGACTAGCTCTCACCTGCAGCGGAGAGCAAGGAGGCAAAAGACTGAACGGAATGCGGCCGTCATCACTTAAGGATCCGAGCTGCACGTGTGTGCAGGTCTGGTAGAAAAGTGTTCCCACAGGAGGTGGTGGACTGCAAATGTTTTGGCACTTTCAGATAATTCAAACTTTCCATCACGAATGCGATAGAATGCCGGCGTAGAGTTGGGACCATTGTAGTTATTCATGTTTGTTACAGAAGTTATTTCACTCAAACGATCTTAAGGGAAGACCTCAAGATGAAGAGGGCGAAAAAAAAAAATAATAATCAGTGTCACGCTTCAATGTGCAGATCAAGGACTACCTAACTTTTGGTCAATTTCTACAGAAAGAAGCATAATAAAATTGCACTTCAGATGTTTTCGTTCCACTAGTCTAGAAGAAGACTTTTAAAGAAGGCCAAATGTTTTTGCCTATGAGGTCATGCATTGCTACGTTAATACAATACAAAACATCCCATCGTGAATAATATATATGAACATAGTAAGCAAAGTGTTTGTTGTTTTATTCATTCAAAAATGAAAACGGTGAGCCACAATATTCATGGCAGAATAGTTTTGGTGAGATGAATAACTGTATAAATGCTCTGAGGAACAGAAGCATTCTGTGCTGCTGTAACAAGGGCAGAAGCTGCGCATGTGCACTTGTAGCCGGGCTCAAGTCACAGAAACACATTACAGTGTGGCCTTTGTGTGTGCGGGGGGGCGCGGCAAACAACCGCGATACCATTCGTTTATCGCATTCCCAAAGGGCACTGACCTTTTTCAGTTTTTCAATCTGTTTCTCACGCACAGCAGTGTTATCTATAGCCAGCACCTCCACGCTCTCCTCCTTTCCCAGGCGGTACTTGTTCACCCCAACGATGACCTCCGACCCTGAACAAAAGTGGGATCAGGCGCATTCGTGAAGATCCATTTCAGGGATTTATGTCTTTACACCCTCAAACGCAGATGCTCTGTATTCTAATGGCAAATTTACTAAATCGAAACATTTACGTGTTGAAAAGATATAAGAAAGTAGACATTTTAATTCTCTATAATCTCCAAATATCCCCAAACGGTGTATAGTCATGTGCTTCCGCCAATGTGGGGAAACTAAAAATGAATGACAACAGCAGCGGAGACGTGCATCGGGAGTGACACGAAGAACGGCATTTGAATGCCAATGAGCGCAGGCCTGAGGGAAATTATGGGGAGGGAGGAAGGGGGGAGGGAGGGAGGGAGGAAGGGGGGGGGAGGGGGGGGTTCAGACACTTCTGTCGTCAGGTGACCGGATTCTGATCCCAGAGGAACACAGAAGGCCAAACCTCCCCGCATGCAACTCTCCTCTATGCATGCATGCATGAACATATATATTGATAGATAGAAACACATATCTATGTAAATATATGTCAACGTGACCAGCACCCCAACCCAAGAATCAAAACTAAGGACTAACAAGAAAAGACGGGTTAAGACAATGATCTGAATATAGATGGGAGTATTTCAAAAAGAAGGAGTTGCACGCTTCCGTTTGTCAAAACTGAACACTTTGACATTCCAAGCATGAAGCACTGGAGGCAGAGGATAAGCAAAGATGAAGCAACGAGGGGCTTTGGGCCAACGAGCTCATGATGTGTTCATACACTGGTACCTGAGTCGATGCGGGCCTGCCTGCGAGCGGCACACTCCTCGATACGAAGCTTCGGGAGGCCCTCTGCCACCGCTCTGGCCATGCCCCCCACCTCCTCAATTTCTTTAATGAACTACAAGGAAAGCACAGCCTGTCAAAGAGGGCCCGTGATGGACTGCTTCTGTAATGTTACCGGACAACACAGTTTATAAAAAGAATTCCTTGAATAAATTAGCCTCTGGTCTAAATAACAGCAGACTGATGACCTTTAAAGCTTTGTCGTAGACGTCATCCGTGAGGGCCTCCATCATGTGCGACCCCCCCCAGGGGTCGGCGACTTTGGGGATGCCCGACTCTTCCTGGATGATGATCTGCGTGTTCCTGGCGATGCGAGCGCTCTTCACCGTGGGCAGACCCAGCGCCTCGTCGAAGGAGTTGGTGTGCAGCGACTGCGTGCCCCCGAACACGGCGGCCATGGCCTCGATCACCGTGCGCACCACGTTGTTGTACGGGTCCTAAGGGGAGGGGCTGTTGGTGAGCTTGGTCCCTTGGACACCCCTGGGGACCTTTCAAAGGCCGGGGCTCGTGTTTACCTGTTCGGTGAGGGACCAGCCTGAGGTCTGGCAGTGCGTGCGCAGGAGCAGAGACTTGGCGTTTTCGGGCTGGAAGTTGTCTTTGATGAGCGTCGCCCACAGCCTCCTGCCCGCCCTCAGCTTGGCAATCTCCATGTAGAAATTCATCCCGATGCCCCAGAAGAAAGACAACCTGGCAGCACACACAGACACACACGGGAAGTTATTCAAATGAGAGGAATCTTGCACAAACGGTATTTGTATAATCACAATTTAATAAAAAGACAACTTGATGTCTCGACAACAACTCTTCACTATGTAAAGATACAGAGTGATTTCTCCTGAGCACGGAGGTAAGCCTCCCTCCTTCTGTGTGTGTTGTTATCCAAGCTTCTCCCTGGTCTGTTTACGTAGCCAGGCCAGCTTTCATGTCCCTGTGACAGATTGTCAGATTGCATTTCAACAAAACGTCCTAATGTGGTCGGACAAAATAATGATGCTGCACAGCAGAGATGGAATAAATCAGTCGCAATTTCCACACCTGCTCTTTCACATTTTTAAAGTTCATCAAGTAAACAATAAATACCATTATAAGGGAAAGAAACTGGATGGTATTTTCCTTCCTCTTGTAGAGAGATGATACACATACTTCCAACTGGCATCCTTCAAGTGTACCAGATAAGCGCTTCTCTTGGCGGAAGTACAAGGTCTGTCATAAAAGCATCATTACGTTTCATTCTTTGTGTGAAGACAAGGGGTAAAGCACCGGCTGGGAGTCTGACCCACATCAGCTGACACTCAGGGTTGGAAGCACAATAAAGGGACGTCTTTATATCGATTCAGGGTGAAGAGTCATTTGGTGGAAAAGGCAGAGCTAGACCGGCCTTCAAGGATTTTCCTGAGGATTGCATGCACAATTAACTCTGCTATTACCTGAGCAACGGACACATGAAAGGAACATAATGGAAGTACAATAAATGGAACGGAGAAGGACTCAGCTGTGTAATCGACCGAAAAGACTGTCCACTTTCTAAAGCAACTCTACTTACTCAGTTAAAAAAAAGGGCAGAATAAAGGTTCCTCTACAGCGGAACCGGCAGCGTGAGCCCCAGATATTCACATTAAAGATGCATTGTGGAGAACAGAAAGAATGCTGAAGAGGCAGGAGGCAAGTGACAGAAAAAGTGTCATTAAACTCGCCCAAATGTATTTATTCCTCTTGTCAAATCAAAATGAAATGCTTTGTGTTCATACGAACCACTATTTAAATGGCTTGATTGGTACTGCAGCATTTTCATCAGCACTCTAAAGGCACTTTAGGTCATTATGCATGAGTCAAACGTGCACAGTGTCAGTGGAAGGTCGATAAAAAGCCGACGTCACAGATAGCAGACCTGGAGTTTCATCATTAAACATTTTGTTTAGCGCCAGCGGAACCCTGAACCGGTCCACTTATTGACTGACCCGCTTAAAAAGCATGTGTGAAGTGAAAGTCGCAACACGTATTTAAACCAGTAACACCTTCAAAACTGACGCGGCTGGTGCAAAGAACTCAGTCACACCTACGACGGGGGTGTCACAGCTGACGTCTGTGTCACTGCAGTGTTAGCTCGCTCCTCACTCCCCTCCTACCATCTGTTAATCATTTATCCTCATATCGTAACCCTTGATCTTTGTAAAAAAACAATAACACGTTTAAATGTATTTATTTATCTTTGTTTCTTGTTCTTCTGGGTTTGTATCCTTATGGTTGAATGCACTTGTTGGTCCCTTTGGATAAAAGCGTCAGCTAAATTACATGTAATATTTTACCAACAGTTGATTTATGATTTTAAATTCCCTCAAACACAAATGTTTAATGATGGATAGAAATTATTCTTAATTTACAATCCTGTGCAGTACAAATTAAGGAGACAAATGAATGAGCTTCATTAAAGCTCTTCCTTTATGAACATAGGCAGTAATATCGTAGTCCTTTGTGATGCTACAGTAAAATATTTTATAAAAGTGAATTTTGCGGCTCTATAAATATACAAAACAAAAGGGTACCTGTTCACACTTAACGGGATATGAATAGTTTGTACCTCGGGGCAAACTCATCGATGGTTAAGCCTGCTTTCAGACCCGTGCGGCAGTACTCCAGGCCGTTAGCGATGGTGTAGGCTACTTCCAGGATGGCATCAGCTCCAGCCTCCTGAAGATGGTAGCCGCTGATGGATATGGAGTTGAACTTGGGCATGTTCTGGTAACAGGGAGAGTCGTGGGAATCAGCTAAAGTCCCAACGTGATGACCATTATATTAACAACACGGCATTAGCGGTTTGCAGCGCACAAGCAAATTACCTTGGTGGTGTAAGCGAAGATGTCTGCGATGGCGTGCATGGAAGGCTCCGGGGGGAAAATGTAGGTGTTGCGTACCATGAACTCCTTCAAAATATCGTTTTGAATGGTGCCAGTGAGTTTGGCTTTGGACACGCCCTGCTCCTCTCCGGTCACGATGAACATCGCCAGCACGGGGATGACCGCTCCATTCATTGTCATGGAAACGGACATCTTCTCCAGCGGGATTTCGTCAAACAACATCTTCATGTCTTCGACGGTGTCTATGGCGACTCCGGCCATGCCGACGTCCCCGTGGACCCGGGGGTTGTCCGAGTCATAGCCGCGGTGTGTCGGGAGGTCGAACGCCACGGAGAGACCCTGCTGACCAGCTGGGAAATAAGAGCAAAAGAGACGCGTGGATCAGACTGGGAGAAGAACGGATTGGAACGACACTCAGGATTCACGTTGGAATGTGGAGATAATAAATAATCGGTCCATATGCTCAAGGTTTTGGGCCTTCCTAAAAACTGAGGTGTGGTGGGTCGCCTCTGGCACAGAGCGAACTCTGAACTCAGACAGCAGTTTTACCCGTAGCAATATTTTATATTGTTATTTAGATTTACTGTATATCTGAATAACAGGTATTTGTGCTTCGCCTTGCAAGCTTTTGAAAGAGTTTGAAGAAGGTAAAAGCTCCTCATGCATCATCATCCGTACAAAATGATGATGTGTATTATAATTATTCAGTGTAATTCTTGTATAATTAAGTTGTTTCAGCTACAAATGAAACCAACAACGAGATCTACCTTTGATGTTATCTTTATAGAACTTGTTGCTCTCCTCCACAGTGCTGAAGCCAGCGTACTGCCGGATGGTCCACGGTCTGTAGGTGTACATGGTGGGATAGGGCCCCCTAGTGTAGGGAAACACTCCCGGCAATTCATCCGGACGGTCGGTGGAGTCTGCTTTGGTGTATACAGGCTTAATGTCGAGTCCCTCCGGCGTGTGCCAGATCAGATCTTCCGGGTTCTTCCCCTTCAGCTGTTTCTTAGCCAGCGTGGCCCATTCGGGATGCAGCTCGACCTGGTCCCGACGCGGCGTCGTCGTGTGCACGAGGGAGCGGTGCGCTGAGAAAACAGAGGCTCTCGCCATTCGCCGGGCAGCCATCGCTGCACATGCCCTCTGTGCAGTCAGCATGCTTCAATGTTGATTCAATCAGACGCACATGGATCACCTGAGGTAGACAATGACAAACAGACGTGAGGTGGTGAAATCTGCTGACCTGGGGTGCTTGGTGGAGGTGTGTCAGCGAGCAGGAGGCTCCCTTCAGAGCGCCTTCAGCCATCCACCAACACCACCATCAAACACATACAATAATAACCACAGCATGTGCCATGGTACCGGCAATGTTACGTTTCTATTTCATGGACAATATTATGTTCATTAATCCCTTTGCAATATAACTATAAATATCAAATCAAATATGACATTCAATATCCTTTTATATTTTAATTTCCATTAGGCTCTGATGTTCGCCTCACTTCTTATATAGTTTGTATTTAAGCTTTGTTGCTGTATTTTACCTATTTTTCTACTGGATCCTTTTCCTATTGCTATTACGTTCCGTTTAAGTTTAGGTGGCAGAACTGTTTATTGTACACTTAACAATTGTTATTCTGTTGTTCAAATTTGTATTCTATTCTTTCTGGATATTGTTTACGATGAATAAAGCCCTATTTTTACCTGTTCTGTGTTAACAGCTCATGCGCCTGATGAATTATATTGCAACATAACGAGATAATGTTACAACAAAAAGTGGGTTAATGTTGCTAAACTTCGTTTTGTCGGACGGATGATCAACAATAATCCGACAAATAATTCGGGCTATTAAGTTTATGTTGTTGTCAGTAGCCTGGTGACATTTGGGATTTTAAATACATTCAGTAACTCACTGCCCAATTATCTATATTGAGAATAATTAATACAGCAGCGTGCATGTGATATTGACACTTAACAAATGACATCATTTGACACGTTTACTGTAATGCTAACGTTAGCAAGCTTAGCATTGCCGACCAGCTGAACTAGCGGGCATCACACGAAAGTCAAAGGATAAAGAAAGGTCGCACGACTTTGAAATAGTAAAAAGACACACGTGCCAGCTAGTGCTAACTTAACGTCATGTAACGTGACGTTACGTGAAGCCATAACCGTTAGTTGTGCTAGCCAACCGTGGATGTTAGCTTGCACTGTTAGCATCCAATACGTAACTCAAAGTCCGCTAATACAAGACATACCGTAGGCTGTCAACGTGAACTCTTATATTATAGCAGTCCGTTTTACATTACTTAATATCATTTCCTGACCTTGTCGCCTGTTGTGCTTTTTCAAAGGGGCGAAAAGGCGTGAGTGCGTCTGTCCAATGGAGTCTCATAACATTACCGGTTAGCCAATAGCGAGCTCCGGTGAAATGGTGAACTTTAACCTCAGACCCCGGAAGTAAATATTCAAAACAAGCTCGTCAAATTACGTAGGGAGAAGCAACTCCGTCTATTATAAGTACCCTCGATTATTGTTGTAATAATGTGTTGTTTTGTGTAGCATAAACTTAATTACGATTGTGCATCAACTTAATTTATTTTTAGAATGTATATTAGTGTATAGTTCATTATTAGTGCAATAAACGGTGTGTGTTTTATATGCCATTAGGAGGCGATGTTGCGTCAGGTATCAAACCTGCTGACAAACTTACTTACTCAACTTACTCACACACAGGACACAAGACTTCTTGACACAACACATGCCATTTTTATTCAAGAGTTGGTCAATCAACTGAAATAGTAGCTGTGGCTCTCACAGAGTTCTGTACAGTATTGGATCAAGTTACATTGGACCGGTTACACTTGCAGTAAATGTTTATGAGGGATATAAAATATATACTACACATAGCAACGTCATTCAGCGCAATCAGCGGGTCAAACCTTTATCAAAGTGGCAATGCAGACAGTGGTGTATAATGCCCAGTTAAGATACAGAGCACAAAGTACATTCAACACAATGTACCCTTCATCTGCTGTTGAAACTGTAAGGCAGTATATGTTTTTCTTTTTGGCTATGTAGTACGGCTTTGCATCAGAAGACTGATTTCCTTGTGGTTCCACAAGAATGTCAAATTTGAAATGTAACAAAAACAAAATAACATCTCTTACTAACTAACAGAAACTAGTGGCGGTGTGTGAGGGAAAAATAAGTCTTGCATGGTGACTTATTTTTTTCTCTGTCAGATCTATGACGACAAGATGGCAACAAATCAACATTAGATGCATTTAAATATCGGACTAAAGAAGACCGTAGAAGTTAACAGAGAGTAAGAGGATGGTGGGAGAAACGCAGCCTCGTCAAGCTTCAGCCTTGCTAATCAACCTCGGGGTCACTCCAGCTTCAGCAGCTCCACATCGAATATAAGCGTCGCGTTCGGGGGGATGACCCCGGGATGGCCTGTCGCTCCGTAGGCCATATCGGGTGTGCAGGTGATTTTCGCCCTCTGGCCCAGGCTCATCTGAAGCACAGGAGAAAAAGGATCAATGGGATGAGTTTGGTGGTTTATGACATTGACGCAATTAGCAAAGTCTACACCATGTAAAATTGTTGAAACTTTTAAAAACGTTGTAAGTCATGAATGAATACATGGCCTTCTAGCTGTCATCAAACGGGTTGAATGTTGCATAGTAATGTGAAGTCTCTCTTACCTGTGCTACCCCTTCCTCCCAGCCCTTAATGACCTCACTGCGTCCAATCTTAAACTTAAATGGCTTGTTCCTGTCTCGGGAGGAGTCAAACTTCTTCCCGTTCTGCAGCATACCTGCCAAAAAGGAAATTACATGAAGAAAAATCAGTGACTCATTGGGTTCAGAAACTACCCGATCGGGTCATCTGGGATCAATTAAAGACAGAGCACATATTTAAGGGACTATTTTTAAACATTCTCATTGCTAAATACGCTAATGACCAACACTGTAATGCATTATCGCCTTTTATCACAGCGGGACGCCAGATCAATGCACGCCCTTTTCCTCAGCAGCTGATTTGGAAAGAAGCAATTTAAGATTAAAAGGAATAAGGAAAAAATGGCTCCAGTCTGAGGAATTGCTCTGGCGGGGGCTTCTTATCGGGCTCTCGGGTCTGCTTCAATTACGCAAATGAACAAAGGGAATGTGAATCAGGAAGCATTGGCCTGGTTTAGTGGATTATTTTTAAAGTTAACTAGGCCACTGCTCGCCTGTATCTGGACCACGGGGAGAAAAGGGGAACAAAGGCGGAGCGGCGCCGGACTGTTCAGATAACAGCGAGGGGGCCATTAAACACAACTCGAGGCTCTGGCCCTGCTTCAGTCATCTGAGCCATTCTCCGTGGAGGGAATCCAAGGCGCCATCTCTAGCAAGTCTGACTGCTGTGTTCGGCTCTCAGATCCGTTTCCACGTTATGCTGCATACGAAATATTCTGAAATAACATCATTTCTTTCTAGGAGTCAAAGTGGGCTCATGAAAAAAAGCCTCCATCCACTTTGCATTTTCTACATCGTGATCGTCCTTTGATTTATGTTTGTCATAATTCATCAGGTCATAAGAACGGTGGTTACTGTACTGTGTCAGCCCCCCCCCCCCCCACTAATCTCACAGCGGGCCGGTTGGCAGCGGGCCGGGCTCGGTCCGACCGTTGAGTCATAAAGTGGAACCGAGGCGCGGGCCACCTGCTGCAGGGGCAAAAACACCCCCTTCCCCACCCCCCCCACCACATAAGTGCTCCGTTATCACTCTTTGAGGGCCCGCCCCTTCCTGAGACCGACTCCCACACTCTCTGCTCATCAGAGGGTTTCACTGGGTCTGTGGCTCGCAGGGGTGGGGTTATTTTTACTGTATCCCGTCCCACCGCCCCGTCTAGGACGGCTGCCAACACGACAACCCCCCCCCCCCCCGTCTCCACCCCCCCTCCTATCAGCCCAAACGGGGATGGAATGGCATGCATGTAAGGCTATCTGTCTACGGACCCGTGTGCGTCGCCCCACGTCTCAGTGGAGACGTCTCTCTCTGCGAATGTTTTATAAGGAGCATTTAAAGAACAGAGGACACGCGGCGGCCTGAAAACAATCCTCAGCGACGGCCTCACGCTTCTTCCTCAAGCTCCTCAAAGGTCCTTTGTGAGACCAGGTGTTTGAACGGAGATGAAACCCCGGCACCATAAAAGGGTTCTAGGCAAACCCCTGCAGCGTCGGCGGGATCAACGCTGAAGACAACTCAATGCGTAAGGATGTACCGTTGCACCAATCAGGAATCAGCAGAACCTCATGCTGATTTAAGATTACTTTGTCCCATCATAGAACCTGATAGTGAACTAGTTTCTAACGTTGGGATTGAGCGCTTCCCCCGGGCATTCGATCACAACATTCTCTTCCCTTGGAAGACGAGTCAACCCTGTGTCTTCATTCTCTATCTATTCCCGTGTCTCTCACACACACACACACACACACAACGGGAGAAATTAGGTCTCTGCTTCAGCACGTTTCATGGCGAAGTCTGCAGCTCAAACATGGTAAGGAATGACGTCCACATTTAGGCCTGACGTCATATCCAGTGGGCTCCCGTTGGATTGACAGGTTGCAAACCAATCAGAACTGTTCACAGCGTGTCAAAGTTGCTCATCCTCCGTCCAAACACCGTCACTGGTCGCAACCAAAGCCAAAATGGCGACGGCCAAAAAGCCCAAATCCAGGTTTTAAAACGTCAGTCCAAACCGACGTCGCCATGGCAACATCCACTTCTTATATAGTCTACGAACATGGCAAAAACTGCAGGGATTGATGAAAATAGAAAAATGTTTAAAATGGGTTTTGGGGTTTATTTGTGCCTGTTAAATACGACAGCTATAAAAACTATGGAAGAAATACAAAATAAAAGAAACAGCTCCTCTGGTCATCATGGCTCGCGTACAGGCGCAGACATGCCTCAGCATGAGCCGCTTACTCAGACTACTTATTATAATACAAATACCCTAATCTCCTCCAACAGGACCACATTCTTCAGCTAATCAGCATTAGACACACATGGCGCGGAGCTCCAATATTCGTTTCTATCCCCGCAGAGATCAAACCCAAAGGAAAACGCAACATTTATTATCCAGCGTTCACCCTGAAAATGAACACAAACGCAAAGCGGAAATTCATCTATTACACCCAATTCTATTAGACAAATAGTCAAAATCGTGACAGACGACAACCGCGCAGAGCTCATTTTAGATGACTGAAGCAAAATACCGACACACAAAGAAGACCTCTTCACCCCAGGGACAATGCCAGGGAGTGTGCAATAACTTATATAGCCGTGTAATAACAGATATGCAGACAGACTGATGACTGTGAACTGGCTTTTGTTTACTATCTGTCTGACCTAGTTGTCTGGGACGACAATCCCCCCCACAAATCCACCCCCCGGGGCACCGGGATAACCCAATTCTTTCTTTTCACCCAAACGTCTCAGCTGCCCCACCTCAAAAATGTGTACCCTGTCTGTGAACACACGCCTCACAGACTGCACACTGAGCCGTGCTGCGTTCAAGGTACGCTTAAAAAACAATAACAACAACAACAACAGGAGAAAGGGAATAAAAGGGTGCGAGGTTAGGAAGGAGCAAAGAGCGGGTCAGTTACCGATGTAATGAACCACACACGCCTGGCCCTTCTTTGGGAATGTTCTTCCTGTTGAGAGAGAGACAGAGGAGGAGCGTGACTGCGCGTCTGCTGCAGCTCATTATGAGCGGCTCCGCGCGAGGAGACGTGCACGTTACTCTCGTCCACGTGCACGACCCTTAGAAATAAAGCCTCACAAATTACAGTTCATGTCATGTGCAAGAGGAAACTCGCAGTTTCAGTTAACCTGTGTAACCTCCAGCTCTGGAGAGAGACACCCCCCCCCCCCCCCCCCATAATAGCTACAACAGTACCGTTACCTGATACCCATCAGAACAAAATAGCGTAAGATTAAACTTGATATTTCAAGTAAACTGTGTTAATATTCGAAAAGGTTTGAACTACATTCCGGGGAACTCGCCGAGCCACCAACAGCCCCCCGCATCCGAGCCCCCGCAACCGGGTAAACCAACTCACCATCACCGGGGGATATTGTCTCGACGTCCACGCCCATGGTGGTGCTGCGGTGCTTCGACAATTAGCTCGCAAACATACAGCCTTGACGATCGAAATATAAAAGCGGCTGCAGTCCGGGTGGTGCAGTCCGGGTGGTGTGATGGGTGTAGGACCATGTATTCACCGACCGCTGCCGACTCGTCGCTGCGGGCTGTGGGAGGGAGGGGAGGAGGGGGGAGGAGGGAAGGGGGAGGCGGTCGAAGATATTTCCTGTCGAGATCGACTTCGACTGCGCTCCGGACGTCGACTTCGGCCTTGCGTCAAACTGTTACGTCACACGCAGCGACCCCTGGCGGACCGAACGCTGAAGGAAAGTGGCTGTCGCAGTTTAACTGCATGTCCCATGATGCACCGCAAACGTCGGCTAGTTTTGCTTCCGTGTCGACTAGAAATGGACCTTTCCCGGCACATTTCAGGCACATTTTAACCGCTAAATGTGATTCAATCGACCGCTCAGAGGTCGCTTTCACGTCGCCTAGAAGGATATGAGAGGCGTGTGGTTTTATAAGGTATGTATAGACATTCACACTAATTATTAGCTACAACGTCAGTTCAATAAGTTAATGCTAAAGGTAAACATTAGCATGCAACCTATTCACTTTGAAAGGGACTTTCAGTGGAGTGGACAACTTCTGCGTGTGACTGTGCTGGTTAAGTTTACATCCTTATACTTATATAATTTAACCTCCCCTGGGTTCAGTCTACTATCTTCTTCATACAGCCATTTCTTAATTAGTGGCATACTCCAATTACTGAGCTCCAGTATCTAAATTTACTTCTCTAAACTGTTATTGGTTAATTCTGCACGTGACGTGGGTTCTCATATTGTGACGACGTTCCTCAAAGCGATGGTTTCACTCACTGTTAATGCCCTGAGGTCCTCGCAGGATCGGCGTGTCATTCAGGGGTAAGCAGCTATGCGTGTTCGTCACCACTGCCTCAGCTCAGGCAGAGGGGATTAAGGTGCTCGGACACACGGGAGGCTTTTGCTATTCTTAACCTGCGCAGGTACAAAGCACAGGCAGCGATCGCTCCACTAGTGCAGCAGCGACTCGGACCGGATCGGTCTCGGCCGCCAATGTGAAGTCACACTAATTTCGTTGCGCTTTCTCTCGGAAACCAGCGTCCTCACGCCCGCCAGGATGGACCTCGGCAAAGCGAAGCTGCTGCGGTCGGGCCTCAACGCTCTGCACCGGGCCACCCACCCCGTGCACGGGATAGCGTGGACGGACGGCAAGCAGGTGTGCCTGACGTCTCTCTTCTTCGTCAACGGCGAGGTGACTTTCGGGGACACCAACGTCATCGGGCAGTTCGAGCACGTCCTCGGGCTCTCCTGGGGCCCGCTGTGCTGCTCGGACTCCCCGGCCCTGCTGGCCGTCCAGCACAAGAAGCACGTCACCGTGTGGCAGCTGCAGCTCAGCGCGCTGGAGCAGAACAAGCTGCTGTGCACGCAGACCTGCGAGATGAGCGAGCCTTTCCCCTTGCTCTCCCAGGGCTGCGTGTGGCATCCTAAACTGGACATCCTGGTTGTGCTGACCAAGAAGGACGCTTCTTTGCTGTTTTCTGTCAGGGTGGACAACCGGAGGATCAAGGCGGACATCAAAGGCAGCGGCCTCATCCACTGTGCGTGCTGGACTAAGGATGGCACCCGCCTGGTGGTGGCTCTAGGAAGTTCCCTGCACTCTTACATCTGGAACGACATCCAGAAGAGTCTGGTGGCCTGCTCCTTCTGCCCCGTCTTTGACGTTGGGGGCTACATCTGCGCCATGGAAGCTACGGGGGAGGCTCAAGTAGCGGTGGCCACGGAGCTGCCGCTGGACAAAATCTGCGGGTTGAATGCCGGCATGGCCTTCGACTTGGCGTCTGAGAGCGAGTCCCTGCACAGCCACGGATCGAGCACGGTGTTTTCCGAAGATGACAGCGGCGTGGACTCGAGGAGGATATCTTTTGAGTCGGAGAGGTCCTACATCCCCAGCTCTGGCCCTCTGGACCTCACACACCTCCTGGCGAGGCACCGGCGCTCCGACCCCAGCCCCCTTCTCCACCTGCGTCGCAGGGACACCATCTCCGGCTCGGGCCAGGACTCCTCGCACCTCATCCTGGTCACCTACGAGCGCAAAGTGACCACCAGCCGCAAAGTCAGCATCCCCGGGATCCTGGTTCCGGACATCGTGGCTTTCGACCCACGCGGCTCCACGGTGGCGGTGGCCTCCAACACCTGCAACATGGTGCTGGTGTACTGCATCACGGCCTCCGCCATGCCCAACATCCAGCAGATCTCCCTGCAGGCCAACGAGAGGCCCAAAGGAGTCTGCTTCCTCAACGACAAGACGCTGCTGCTGATGTCGGACCGGCAGAAGTCCAACGAGCCGGCCTTCCTCCCGTCCTCTAACACAGACAAATACGTCCTGCGTCTCGTTGCCAAAGAGCTGATGCTCAACGGAGAGATCCCGCTCACGCCCCCGCCCTCCGATCACAGCCGCGAGCCGCCTTCTAATTTCGGCCTGAGGATTAGGAGGCACTCGGAGCACCAGCCTAAAGACGACCGGGAGCACCAGGGGATAAAGGACCTGGTGCTACCCGGCGGGGGGGTCGTTCGCTCCGGGGCCAACAGGCGGAGGCTGGTGGAGGAGGTGAGGAGCGGCGAGCTCAGCCCCGTCACCAGCTCGGTGGACTTCTCCGACCGAGCCCTGTCCAGCCCCTCCTCGGTCGCGGTGGAGACTTTCGACATGGACCACGTCAACCGCATGACCTGCCTGGCGGTGGCCGGCCAGGCCAGCAGGGAGTCCAGCCGGGCCGGCTCTCCCCGCCACGAGCCGTCGGACAAGCTCCACACGGACCCCACGCTGCCCTTTCCCGAAAAGGCGGCGGGCCCCGCCAAGGAGCGCGCGCTGGAGCAGCTGGGTCACAACATGGAGCGGCTTTTTGCGCGCTTCGCGGACGTGCAGCAGTGCCTGGCGGAAATCCGAGACTACAACCAGAATGGCAGGAAGGCCCCGGGGGTCTACCCCGCCGCCTCTGAGCCGCCGTACGTCAACGTCACATGTCAGGTACGGTTTTACTCAGCACGTTGAGATGGGGAGAAGAACCCTGGCTAGAGAAGGGACGGGATCCCCTCGCTTTCCAACGTCTCGGGAAGCTTTTGAGAGGCTTAAACGGCGGGAATTTACACTTTTAGGACCAGTGAAATACACGCTTTAATGTGTTTCACGGTTTCTAAAGTATCAGGTCAAGTTATGGATTCACTGCTGTGACGGCATTTAGCCGCACGATTTATTTGACTCATTCGTGATGTTCCTCGTTCCTTCACTTAGAAGCAGTTATCGGAGAACGTGTTCATCGACGAGCGGCGGCCGGTGCTGCTGTGTGATGGGAAGCTGTGTCTGCGTGTTCTGCAGGACCTCTTCAGCCTGACCATCGTGGAGATGATGTATGGTGGGTGCAGCATGGACCGCCTACAAAAAATAATCCTTACCATGTGGTCATTTCACACTCGCCATGGAAAGAACCAGGAACATGCAATGTATATTTATAGAAATGTATCTCGAGATGTGGGAACGACCTGTATGGCAATCTTCATATTTCCAAAAGATGCTAAATGCACAATTCACAATGTTCTTCCTCCACGCGGCGCTGACCGCGGCGCGGCTAACGCTTCAAACAACGGCTATCTTGCCTATGAGATTATTTAGATAAAGTGTTTACAGGATTAACAAATTAAAACCAGCTCCCCTCCCCTGTGAGTGTCTTCAGCTCGCTGGTGCGAGGCGGTTTCCATAACGACGTCCCATCGACAGTTTGTCCGAGTCTCTGCAGGCTTTTTGAAGCCTCCAACTTCCCCCCCCCCCCCCCCCCGCTCAGAATGCCCCTTTAATTGGTAAAGAATCTTCGCATTGTAGTATTGTCGTCCTGTTGCCGTGCCGACGCTATAATTAGAAGTGATTAAAAGCCTAGTTCAGATTACGCGGTTTAAAACAAAAGCGGCTTACTACGTTTTAATGAGCACTGTGTTTTGCTGCTGCAAAAGCTACATTTGGCATTACGCAGTTAGCTTGTTATTGAACCCGATCCCCCCCCCGCTAAGCCAATAGTCTTTGTCTTGTCCCTCCAGGTCCGTTGTGGGTCGTCCTCGTGGCGGACGCAGACGGCTTTGTGCCCCTGACCTTCAAGCCCAAAGAGGAGCTGACGGTGCGCAACGGGAAGAGGAAAACTAACCTGCGGACTCCCGGGAGTCCGGAGAACTCCGTCCCCTCGAGCCCGGCCCCCGGCCAGGGCCCCCCCGCCGCCACGGAGTCCTCCTGACCTCGATGTGTTTCACTGACATCACCAAAGTTATACCTCCGATGTATTTTTGTACTGAAGGGCCGCAGCGATGTTTCATGTAAACGTTTGGTCTGGTTCTGCAGAAATCCGACATTTAATGAAACGCATCGAAACCTCCGCAATGGCTCTTTTGTGCTGAAAGTTCTCGCTCAAACGAATGTGTTACGCACGTGTTTAGATTAACATTGTGATGCAACATCCTGGGTTGTATTTATGCTAAAATGTTACCACGGTACCCAGCTGGCCACTAGAGGGGGCCGGACTCCACAGAAACCTCCCTACGCTGCTGTACGTTGTCAATCAGAACTCCACAGAAGCACAAATAGGTGTGGAAGTTGTGCGGTTTGGGCAACAGCATTTTTCAGTAGCGTTTTGAAATATTAACCTGCGTAACTAGTGTGCAATTCTTTCTCTGTAGAAGAAACACACCACCCATGTTTATTTGGTCTATTAACCTCTACAACATTTATTTATTTCATATCATCAGCCCTCAATAATCATATATCATAAATAAATAACAGTGTTTTAGAGCCAAACACAGCAAATGATGGTATACATTCATTTATATAAATTAGGTAATCTTATTATATATTTATATATCCAAGATGTCTATACAGTACTTGTGGAAATGAAACAAATGTTTACATTAAAACAATTTAAACAATTTCTCAGTGTAATATACACTAATGGTCAAGCTTCCAGCGGAGATCACTGGAACACGCCGCTTTGAGGATTCACGTCATTCAAGATCCGGGACACACGTTGTTCAAATCTTCCATCGTTCTGGAGCCGATGCTTTGTTTCCTGAGGGAGACGTCAATCAAAGCATTAACATCAGAGGTGGGAAGTAATTGATTGACACCGTGAATGTTTAAATAGGAATGATCCTATAATTACGTACTTGAGGGAGATTTGGCATTCATACTTTGGATACATTTTACTAAGAAAACTGTGGTACTTGATTTAAAAGTAAAAATCTTTGAATAAATATATTTACAATGTGGCACTGCTGCTTTTACTTAACTAATTGATCTCAATACTTCCTCCACTGCTGGACAATAGTAAGTTGGCATAATGGAACAGTTCCAAAGTTCAGATAACATTTGTGTCTCCAAACTTAAGAATAAAGTCCTTCATGCGTACTGTATATATTACGTGGATTACATGGGAACTCCAGCAGTTTAGAACAGCGCTTTAATACAATTGGAGGACTTTGGACTTGGAGATACCCTGACTTTTATTCGCTTGTTTGCATGTTTCAGGTGTGCGTCTCCTGCTCACCGTAGCTCATCCAGGCAGAGTCTGTTCCTGAGCCGCACGTCTTCGCTGATGGGGTAGAGCAGCAGGATCATTAACCCCGTCACGATGAAGGCCACCGGGGCGGCGCCGATCAGCAGCTTCAGGGTGTACACCACCGGAGCAGGCTGCTTGCAGGCGCCGGTGTTGTACCCTGCAAATCTATGCACACACACACACACACACACACACAAAGATCCAATTTAAACACAGCTTACAGGAAATCGACATCCCAGCCTGACGCTGCACTTCCGCAAAGGAGCCGACTTGCACACCTTTCCCATAATGAATCATACATCTGGTTAATGCACTTCTGCTGAGTGCAGCTGCACAGCGTCCTGCAGTGTGTACGTGAATGACTTACTCCAGGCAGAGGGTGGACACTCCCAGGGAGATGCCCGCTGCGAACTTGGTGAAGAACACGTAGAAGGAGTAGAAGATGGCCTCGTGGCCTTTACAGTAGGGGTTGGCCAGTCTGAAGTCATCCACCACATCTGGCAGCATGGACCTGAAACGCACACACATGCAACGGTGAAACACGCACTAATCTGGGGTTTTGTTTTGTGTGTCCTTTGTCTTGAGCGGGTCGTCTCGCGGCTCTCCGGATCAGTGAGGCACGTTACCACGGCAACAGGAGCGAGGCGGCCACGCTGAGCCCGGAGGAGACGGCCACCACGTAGGCCACCACGACATTGGGGATGAAGACCAGCATCAAGGTGAAGGGCATGATCCACTGGAAGGAAAACCAAAGAAAAAGTCTTACAGACGAGGACGCAGTCGAGGTTAAAAGTTAAATACAAACGGTCGACTCACCGTGATGCCGCAGAACGCCGCCGTCTTCTTCCCGAACTTCTGCAGAAACCATTGCCACACCGGAATGCTTATCACTGCGGAAACCTGAGCGAACATGTGACGGGTCTTAGTCAGATTTACATACGCGCATACGATGAGGCAAGAGTGTGACACGTCATCTGTGTAAAGCAGCTGCGGTTCAAGCAGAGGTCTAATGTGGTCAACAGGAATAGAAACAGCACCGGGATGGACACAAAGGGAGGAGTCATAATCAGTGAGGCGTATCTTTGGCTGCTTTGTGGATTCATCCGTGGTAAAAAGTCAAAAACTCTCCTCACCAGGATTGTCAGCACAATATTCTGGAAGTGATCCCTCAGGTCGGCGGCGTAAGTGCAGAAGAGAACGAAGTTGCTCTGGACCAGCTGCAGGAATCAGAGACGAAAAGGTTTGGCTATTTGCTCGTGTCTTGTCCACTCAGCAGTGTCGCCCGGCTGCACGGAGCAATCTATTCCCACCCGGGGGCCCCATGGATGACAGCTGACATGAGGGGTCCCGGATACACACGTACGGAAATAGATCTGATGCAAAAGGCGGAGTCGTCTGAAACTATTTAAAACGGCCCGAACCCCCAGGTGTAAAAGTGACAAACAAGCGAGAACGTGCGGCGACGTCGGCGTCACTCTCGACGCACTCGAGACGCGGTCAGGAACCGTGACATAAACACGTGCTCTTTCTCACCTGGATGGCCACGGTGATGAGAGGAGCCGCGGTCAGAGTGAGGTACGGCCCGTGTCTCATCACCAGGATGAAGCCCTGGTGGAAGGGGATCTGCTTCTCCGTCCTCGGGGCGTACGGGTCTGAAACGGGTGATGGACGTAGGGGTTGGGATGGCAGTGTGCAGCATACATCGGAGCCTATACTGCATATCGCTACGCCACCGCATATCGCATAACATGCGGTGAGAGGGGGGCTCAGTGCATGTCCAGGAAGCGCGCAGCTGCATTGCCGCGGATGCTGTTTGGCATTTCTAAGAAAGATTAGATGAAAGTGGAGGATCTCCAAACAGTCCAATGAAACGGTGACTCGTTTCGTCTCCGTGTGGAACAGCTCATTAAAGCTGCAACTAACACTTATTTTCCACCACTGATTTATATACAGTATGACTTATTTTTATTATTTATCATTGGCCTATAAAATGTGGATAAACATGTTCCCAGAGCGCAAACCGTACATAACCAAACGCAGTATCTGTTTCCTCAATCTTCAGGCCCGAAAGAGACTCACCGTCCCTCTCTCTGACTCCCAGGAACATCACCAGGGTGCAGATGAGAAACACTCCTCCGATCACGCCGGCAGCTATCATGTACACCTCCTTCTGCAAGAGAGAGAGAGGACACGCGTGTAGCAGCAACAATCCATCTGTGCTTACATCGTCTATTCTGAGCCTCGTCTCGATCTTTAATTCATAATGTTCTCAAGTGCTTAAAAAATTGAAGCGCTTCGCTTCACCGAGCTATACGTCCATTCCAACGCGATTTTTATTTCCGTGCTTATTTTCCGGGCACGGGCCATTTCAGAGTACAAATACAAGCGTACGCAGCAGGAAACCTCAAGCACAGCCGGGTCCCAGAATACACGCGCTGACCGTCAGGGTGCTGCACCTCGCCGGAGAACCGCTGCTCCCGACGCCACCTCTGTTTGTTTGCCATCTCTTCATGTGGTTCGTCACTATTTACACATCAAACACACCCCGTTTCTTAAGGCCAGGCCTAGTTTCCCCCCTCACCGGGGGCCGCTGGGGAATGCAGCGGGGTGCGCTGCGGAAGGGTTCCGGCGACCACCGATAACGCACTCCTCGGGAAAAGGCGCCGTTCAAAGCCCAAATAGCTGCGGTGCGACCGACATCCAGCGTGCACACGCTTCGTCCAGAATCCTGTTTATTTCACTCGAGTGTTTCTGAGAAGTGGAACGCTCATATTTCCCACATAACGAGTCCGGAGCGGGTGGGATATAAATAGGGCCTAATGACTTACAGACTGTTGGGGCCCCCGGGAAGCGGGGGGCCACAGTCTGCAGCCCGATGTGAGGGAGGAGCCACCCCCCCTTTGTGGTTGTTGCAGGATTCCGGCGTTGGATATCAAACAGCGGCGTCTCCTTTTCCCGCCCCACGGGCTTCAATGGGTTAAAACACCAGGCGGTTCTGGACGTCCGGACTTGTAGACAGACTCTAAATATGGACCCGATTTCCAAACACACCTGTTTTTCATTCAGCGCCCCCCCCCCCCCGCCCCCCGGTGAGTTATTTTCCGTTGGCATACTTCAATGCACCTGGGCTCGCGGGGGACACTCACCGAGTGTGACAGGTAGTCCTGGGAGCGCACCAGCTTCCTGACGACCTCTGCCCCGCTGCCGTTGCCGCGGTAACCGGCCGTCACGTTGTGAGGCGGGCAGTGCAGAGTGTGCGCGCTGGCCACTATCTGGCCCCTGGATGGCGGCGCCCACCAGCGTCCCGAACACCTCCATCGTCATTCCTGGACATCACACGGGGAGAGATTGGAGGCGGCTCACGGAGGCTCATGCATGTCAAGCGTCGCCTGCGTGCACGTTGAAGCTCACGGTAAGCGGTGGCCGAGTCCCTTTCCTTCTGGTCCGTGCTCAGGAACATGGTGAGAGCCGAATAAGGCACGTGGAAGCACTGCAGAGGAGCAGACAGACACGGCGATGGTTCAGGAAAACACGCAACATACAAAAGTCTCACACATCCGCACCAGTCTGGGGAGGTTGTGAAGCAATTTTTGGAATTTTAGCGAGACAGCATGGCTTTACCGCTATCAAAATACAGCTATTCAGACATTCAAGGTCACCACCATGAGGATGATATTACATGTATACATGTAAATATAATAGTTTTGAAAAGATAACAATAACACACATCTCTTTCCCAATGTCAGATTACAGGGAATAGTCTTTTTGGGGCTGATTCCCATAAGATGCTGAACATCCTGAACACCAGCGTTGTCATTAGCGTGCACGTCAAAGCCTTCGTGGAGCTTCCCGCTCTTTCGTCGACAACATTTGAGTCACAATCGAATGGGAACACCCAGGATATGTTTAGATGTCTTTAATCTACAAGTGGCTGTGTAGCAGCGCCGACCTCAGCGCTCTGTTTTCTCCTTCCTCACCACCTCTCCCAGAGAACAGGCCTCCTTCACTTTGTAATTTACACAAGGGCTCAGTCAGCACTGCGGAAGCCACGACGAAAATAAACGCGGCCGTGGAAGGATTTTCTGCAGCCGCCGGTTCTCAACAGCATGTCATTTACGGGGGGGGGGGGGGAGGCCTTCGACTGCACGCGAGCGTTTTATTGAGCCGAACCTGCTCAGGCGTCCGCTGCGGATGGAAGTGAGAAGCAATGAGTCGCAGGGAAGCCTGCTCGTAGCTTGATTGCATAAACAGACGAGGTATCGCATCCTAACCCTCCGTTTTACGGGCAGCGACCCTCTGAGTGACAACAGCTGGCCTCTCCCAGCTCACACACACACACATCCAGAGACAATGAAGGCGGGCTAAAAGTGGTAACCAGCATTTACCCTGCAAGAGGTTCCTGGCAGAGCCGCCCGTATACTTATCAAGTCGTCGGAGTGACCTGCCATTACTGTCAGTGGTAAGATGGGTTACTCCAGAGAGGTGGACAGATGATGGTCTGGACCACAATAACAAAAAGCCGCCTAAATAAGTCTGCTTCCCCTCTGAGGTGAGCTATCTGAGAGCTCTGGGATCTGAGCCACTGCTCGTCGCGCAAAATCAAAGTGCTGAGCCCAACCGGGACATTCGCCGTTGTTTGGAGGCCTCCTGCAGACCGTGAGCCGCAGCAGTGAGATCGTCTACCTCCCGTCTCGCCCAAGTCCCACTGGGTCATGCGAGGGCATCAGTGCTTACGGTGATGAGCGTTTGGTAGAGGCAGTAGAAGCCCAGGTACCAGATGAACCTGCCGGTGCTGACGAAGGGAGGGACGAACCAGAGGTAGAAGTAGGAGACCACCAGGAACGGAGAGCAACCCACCATCCTGTGAAGAGCACAAAGTCAGGGGAGAGTAAACGCTGCGAGAAGCACTAATGACATCGGTAAAAATCTGTTTCAAGCCATGACGGCTTCTGCGCAGATGTTCAGGCCAGCAGGGACGGCGATGGCCGTGTTATGTTACGTAATCCTCACGGCGGCGCGGCGCTGAAACCATATTTCAGTGGGATTACAGAGCGGCTAAGCCGACAGCTAAATGATTATGTTGCAAGTATGACAGGAATCGGCCCTTTGAAGGACGGCCGGGGAAGTACAACAATATTTTGAACCCTTCACACGCACACAAATACACTGAAACAGCTGCACATTTAAAGGAAAGAACAAGGGCCGTTTGGGATTTTGGTGACGGGGACAAAAACCTGCGGGGGGGGGGGGCTTCTGAACTCTGACCCGGTCCGACCGCACCAGGAGTTGTAAACAGAGAACGTGGGAGAAAGAGGCAGTGGTCCTTTCTAGCATCGTCCGGCTCGCCTCACTCTCCTCCTGATTGTTTGCTCAAACAAAAGGTGGCCGGCAACGCTGGTGCTGCAGTATTGACCGCTGACCGCTCGCTCATGGGAGCGACTGAAAGGGGGGGGCGATGAATGGCGCTGTCAGAACCTTCCTGCAAGATGACTGTGTGTTCCGGGCTTTCTGACTGCAGCGGTTTAAGTAGATGATGCGCCGTGGGACAGAGGGGATTTCAGACGAAGGTCCGCTGACTGTGACAAACAGTCCATTGCAGTTCCGTGAGCAAAGGTTTGGTTTTTCACTCCATTTCACCTTCTAATTGAAGATTTTAAATCAATCAACGTAATAATAATGCTGTGTAATTATACAGCAGTCACAGGGGCCTCAAGCAGAGACAATCTGCCGTGAAATAAAAAGGTCATTTCTGCCAGTTGGAGTTTGCATTTTAGGACAATCACAAAATAATAAACAGGGCACCACCCAAGAGGGCGTTTTTTGGGCCGGCGTCCTAAAGCACTTTATGTCTGCCTGTGATGTGACAGCCAGTCAGGGGGAACCGCTTCCTGCTGGATGGGCTGAAGGGACTTTCCAACTGAGGGAGTGTCGCCATCTCTTCACAAATACCGATGAGCCAACATTTTAAATACCCTTATGCCCATATATAGTACACAAAGTGTTCACACACACACACACACCTGCAGCCTCCGGTGGGTATTGAAAGCTGATTAAACAGCCATCAGCATCTGTGGCTGGCTGGCCACAGCGGACCTGGTGCCCCTCCAGCACCGTGCATGTGTAATCTAAGGTTTATAATGCAGTAGGCATTATATACTGGATGTGTAATTACAGTATGTGTCACGGTAGCGTGTTTACAGGACATACACACACACACACGCGCGCGCACACACGCCAATAGCCGCTTATAGGATCATCTTTGCAGAAATGGTGATTTGCGCTAACAGCTTCGTTTAATCCGCAATCGTAGAGCCACTAAAGATCATTTCCCTGAGAGGCTGTGAGGTTCTTAGCATCTCGCGCACAAAGGCAGCTGGACGAGGCCCGAATGTGGAAACGATGTGTTACGGAGATGTGATGAAATGCGATTGGGGAGCTGCGCTGTTTGGAGCCTCGGGCCTGAGAGTAAAAGAAAATTTAAAAAAAACATGCGGAACTTGAGCACATTGCTGTTGATGTTTTTGTTTGGACTTTGCACAAACCGCGGGATGTAGCGTGCAGTAATTAAGTCTGAGGGAGGGGGAGGAAGCCAGAACTAAAGTTGATCTGTCGCCCGTCAGGTGCTGTACGCGAGTTGAACTCTACGTCGACAGCAGCTGCTTTCACCTCCTTTATTAGCTCAGATAAATTATGAATTCTCATTTTTATTAATTTATTCAATTACTTGTATGTCGTGCTTCTTAAAAGTTTAACTTAAAATGCAATTTTCTGAATGAATACCATGGAAAGGCAATATCTTGCAGTAACTTATAGCCTTATTATTACTATTTGCGTGCAATCTGAACCTGGTTCAGAGGCAAACGGAGAAGGAAAACAAGCAATGATTGTGTGTGACAGACAATAAGGATGGCGCTTCCTCCCTGGAGTTCTCACCACGGCATGAGTCTGCCGATCTTGGTCCATCTGGTCTTGGTAATGAAGAAGCCCACAATCGGGTCGGTCACGGCGCCCCAGGCTTTACCGATGAACAGCACCATGGAGGCCTGGAAGGGGTTGATCTGCGGGGTACAACGACAACACACACACACACACGTGTAACCATTGTACCAGAGCCACACACACACACACACTTCCCTGTCCTCACACACTTTACCTGAGCGACATCCAGCAGGTAGATCTGCAGGAAGAAGGCCGTGGCGCTGGCGGCCACCTCCTTGGGCGCGCCGCCGATGGCGAAGCACAGCTTGCTGCATAAGGTCAACTTGTGGCCCAACTCGGTCTGCGGAGGCAAGAGGAGTATTTCAAGACGATGGCGGCCGCGCAGGTCAGGCTGCTAATGAGCAAATTAACTTTTCTCCCCTGCAAGCGATCTGCGGAAGACCGGCGAGGAGCGGAGCGCACCGAGGAACTGCTGAGCGTGGGGGGTTTGCACCGGGCGTGTGGTAATTGCTTCTGACGAGGTTTCGCATTCATGGACACCTCGCAGTCACGGCTGAGGTCACTAGGATATATTTGGATTGTGTTATTGATCAATTTCCTGCTTATGTTCTCCTCATCATTTTAATTCCAGGAAGGGGAAGTGAGGAGGTGGTGTCTCACTGTGTTAGTCGCTCAGCATGGACGCAATGACCCTTCTTAGGAAAAGAACTAAAGTAACTTCATCTTTCAGTCCCCTAAAAAAAATTTCACACGAGACACAAACTTGTTACACTGATAAAACGTTCATAGTCTCAATTCCTTTAAATACTCCTAAAATAACCTCCCTTCGCATCTTCAAGTCGCAACCATTTGGTGGCTCGGTGGAAAGTGAAGAAGAAGTGTGGTTGCTAAAGTGTTGTCACGCTACATACATGTGCAATGACGATGTGAGTTGATGATGCGTTGATTCCACTCCCTAAAAAACACACAGGTAGCTGCAACCGGGGATCATCGATCATCCTGCATCTTCGTTTCCCCTAAATGCCTTATTCTAGCCGGCAGGAGAGATGCTCACGTATAAAATGTGTGTGTGTGTGTGTGTGTGTGTTTTAACTAGAAAAGGAATCCCCCCTCTCCCCCCCTCCCTCCGGCGGCTGCTTGTGGTCTGTCTGTGCAGACACTGAGGCCCATGCAGGAGCCGGAGAAACCCACCGAGTCGTCCACAGCTCCGTTTCCCCTCACCGTGCTCTGCCAAAACCATCAGCCTCTGTGTGTGTGTGTGTGTGTGTGTGTGTGTGTGTGTGTGTGTGTGTGTGCAACCAGAATGGGGAAAGCTTTCATCTCCACACATGAATAAGACGAGTCACCACAGTCTGGGAGCACAATATTTACAACTGTCTCTATGTGCCGCGCACAACGGACCCCCTGATTCTGTGGAGCGGCGGTGTCGCACAACCCACACGCAAAGAGCGTCGATTCATATTCTGGGGGCTCCAGAGTTACAACAACCACCCCCCCCCCCCCCTCCCCTCACCGCCCTCACCGCCCCCCACCGAAAGGGTCATGAAAGAGGGAAATCACCAAAGTAACCACAGCCCGCGACCCGCACACTGTTATTATCCGGCCCGCGTTTTCTCTTCCTCCGTTTTTGTCGCCCCTTCAAAACGTGGAGGGGTTCGACAGCGACAATTACCGGGAGGCAGGTGTGTAATTATTCAATCACCAGACAAGCAGGACAGAGGTAAGTAAAGGCTGCAGCGGTGGTTCCGACTTGAAAACTCTCTCTTCTTCCACTCTCACTGCAATTACCCCTAATTGGAGAGAGAGAAATTAAAGTCTTTGGTGTCTGGAGAATGCTGCTTATCTGATGATGTGCGGAAAATACTCCATCCCACTCCAAACTCTCATTCTCTCCCTTCGATCTTTCTTATCGTCAAAGAGGATAAACAGGAAATCCTTTCCACGTTTGTCTGGATGCACAGAATGTACCACACACACACACACACACACACGCGCACACTTTAACACAACAACCGAGACGCTGGCTCTGACTGAAGGGAGCATCTGCAGAGTTAAGACCGGCGACAAGCAAGGGACAAGGACGGATAAGATTAACCTCTGGAGTTAATGAATCCTTACCCACTAGAGGGGAAACTATTTAACGTGTCTCAACTGATTTAATCAGGTTTGAGGATTCTAGTTCAAAGAAGGGAAAGAGGAGGGTGTGTGTGTGTGTGTGGGGGGGGGGGGGGGTTATGCACACTGAAGCTTTGCATGCTCAAAGTTAAGCTGGTAAAAAAAGGGTCTAAAACACATTTTAAATGTTTATTTTCTGAAAAGGATTTTCTCGCAATTCTGGGCACCGGGGTCGTGCCGAGGGTCAGCTGTGTGTGTGTGTGTGTGTGTGTGTGTGTGTGTGTGTGTGTGTGTGTGTGCCGTCGCTTCAGATTACGGATTATGAGCATGAAGGCAAAGATCATGTCAGTGCAGGGAGCAAACTATGGAAACGTCAACAGTCGCCCGGTGACGTCGACTGAACGTGCAGGGAATCAAATGCAGAACGGTCCAGAGAGAGACACAGAGAGAGACACAGAGAGGGACAGAGAGAGACAGAGAGACACAGAGAGAGACAGAGAGAGACACAGAGAGAGACAGAGAGAGACAGAGAGAGACAGAGAGAGACACAGAGAGAGACAGAGAGAGACAGAGAGAGACACAGAGAGAGACATAGAGAGACAGAGAGGGACAGAGAGACACAGAGAGAGACACAGAGAGAGACACAGAGAGGGACAGAGAGGGACAGAGAGAGACAGAGAGAGAGACACAGCTCCACGGGGTTCATTTGACCACAAACCACGTAGTCGCATTCGGGAGAAACCGCCCTGGTCCACTATGTCCATGTTAGTCTGCCTAATTTGACTTTTCTCATAAATACTCCTCCCAGAGGGAATCGTGCAAGCTGATCCTTCTTCTAAAAACTTTCTTTTCTTCTAGTGGCATTTAACTAAGAGCAGAATGGCGGGTTTGCGGGCTTCAGCAGAGAGGAAGATGACGACCTCCTGTGTACATGACACACGTTGATGCGCCACAGTTGCCCCCTTCTGATTTGAAAAAGAGAACATTATAACCACTAGGAGTGGAGTCCAGTCCCCGACGCTGAACCAGAAGCAGTCCCCACGAAACAGATACAGCTCTAAGGTCCGTAGAGGAAACGCAGAAGCAGCTATTTATTCGGAGAAAACCAATAATCGGCAAACGTAAAATGCAAATCATTGTGATTTTCCAACCGGCGCTCCCTTGTGGGTATTAGGATTTGGGCTTACTGAGGAAAAACAATTGGTTGCTCTAATTCTCAACTTCTACCGTCTTGAGGGGAGAAAAAAAACACTCATGGCTGTGATTCTCAATACAAAACCTCTGATGTCAAATCCAACTCCACCCAGTCAAAACAAAAGCACTGCAGATTAGACAGAGACGAGACAGCTGCAGGTCTGGTCGGATCGAGGGACGTACGAGCGATGCAACGCTGTTTTCACAAGCTACCTGAGTCACAGAAAAAAAAGTCTCTTCACTTGTCACCTTCTCAATCAGCTCTGATAATGTGAGATGAACCAGTCAAAATGTGAGTAAGTCGTTCCTTTCGTCTGTCTTGCATCCAATTACAGCCGTGATCACGACTATTTCCTCACTGAAGACCACTGATCTGAAGACAAAAGGAGGTCATCCTCTTATCAGTAAGAACAACTTTGCTCAAGCTCCCAGGCGCAGAGCCTTCGATGTGGATTACACAGGAAAACAATGCAACTGATCAAATAAACAAACAAGAACCGAAAGAGATCTCTCCTCTTCTCTTTCCCCATCCAATCAGGTCCCTCACAGCCAAACTAAACCCAAACACCCCAGATGAGAGAGAACCGTCTCATCAAGATGCGTGTTTCACCGCAGCACAACAACAACAACAGGTAAACATGCACCGGGTCCTCTTACCTGTGGAGGAGTTTTGGGGAAGAGCGGTTCGGTGGGCAAGATGAGCTTCCCCGCGGAGCCCTGCGCGCCCTTGTCCCCCTTGTCCCCCTTGTCCCCCCTGGCCATGGCCGACAGGCTGTGCGTGAGGCGGCAGCCGTACTTCTGAGCCGGTGTGTGCGAGGGAGCGCTGAAGTGCGTGTGACTGTGACTCCTCGTGTGAGCGAGGGCGCGCGGAGCCTTCCACTGGGTGGTGTTGGAGGTGGCGTTGGAGGCGGTGTGCGTCAGAGGCTGAAACTGGATGTGGCTCTGGCTGCGGGTGTGCGCGCAGTGCGCGCGGGCGGCGGCGGCGTCGGGGGCCGCGGGCTCCTCCCGCTCCTGCGCGACAACTCGGCCGCTGTCGGCCGCCATCCGCGTGCTGCTGTGCGTCTGGAACGGGGCCGGGAGAGGGGGAGGTAAGGGGGGAGGCAAGGGCAAAGTCAGAGAGGCGGCGGTGTCACACGCGCACACATGTGCAAAAAAGAAAAACACAATTCATCCAAGCAAACACACACACACACATATAGGATATACATATGCAAATAAGAAAATACATATAAGCAAACACATACGATAATATAAGTAATATGCAAAAAAAGAAAAGAAAGCGCACACATTCAGTCAATGACACAAAACACAGACTTTGGTGGATGCACGAAAACACCTAAATGGGACAACAATGTATTGTAAAAAGAAACGACACACGCACACAGACGCTCAAACCTTGTTTTAAACAGATCGCCCTCTAAAAGTCAAACGCCCCTCAGGTGAGCGTCGTCTGCGGCGTCTGACAGCTCGCGCAGCCGACTGCGCTTTAAGAGCGAACGTGTCCCGCGCCAGAGCGCGCGAGTCTCGCCTCACTGCGAGCACATCCGCAACCCCCCCCCCCCCCACCCCCCCCGGGATCATTCTAAATCCCACCTGTGCGCGAGGAGACCCCAGAGCGACGGTCCTACCCGCTGGGTGACGAGAAAGCGGCCGTCCTGCGGGGGTGAGGGGGCTGGGAGGAGGGGGGGGGGGGTCCCGGTGGTCGCCGGCTCGGACCGGAGGAGAAGGAGACAGCGCACGATGGAGACGGTCTGCTGCGCGCCTCCGCTCTCAGCCTGCAGTGACGGAGCGGCGCCGTGCGGCGGCGGCCGCGGCCACGGTGCGTGCGTCCCTCTTCGGATCGCATGTGTGTGGGCTGTGCGTGTGGTGCGCGTGTGCGCGCGTGCATCCGTGCCGAGAGATTATGGCCGGCGTGTGTTTGACGCGAGCAGCGTGTGTGTGTGTGTGTGTGTGTGTGTGTGTGTGTGTGTGTGTGTGTGTGTGTTTGGGATGGGAACCCACCGGAAGAGGACCCGCAGATTTTTGAGAGAACAACTAGTGCTATTTTTAAGCATGTGATTAACAAATCATGCATTATTACTGTATTCCACACGTGACAGGGAATAAAATAATCAATTTCGCTATGGTTTAATGACACATTCTATATGAAAAAAAATCTATGTTTACTAACACTTATCATCAGTCTCTCAGGCTGCACCATTTACACTCAGAGTGTCCAAAAGTTTGGTTTCATTTCCCTCACAGAGAATTGACCTTGGGTTCTTTGGAACAAGGAGCCGTGTGTGAGAATAACCCGTTGAGGATTGTTACGATACAGATGTCACACTGCATCATTATCATTGTTGTGATGTAGATTCCACTGTGTCTGTGTGTGTGTGGAGGGGGGGGTCTGTTCTTTACGGGTCATGCTACTCCAGATTCAGCTGAGGGACTCACAGGAACCAGCATTCTCAACATCGAGCCACAGAAGTCCAAACTTTTAGTCCCAATCTTACATTTCCACGAGCAGGTGGAGACTTCACATTGTGAAGCGGCAGGAAAAGGCCTTAAACTTGCATTCTTTCAAATAGCCTGTAGGGGGCGACTCCTCTGGTTATCAGATAGAGGACTATGAGAAAGTGACTACTGTTTATTACAAATTGCAGTATGGTGTTTATGGTCTCAATCTCTGGTTTCAACTCTTATTCAACACGGCATAATGTTTCACATAATAGATGATGGTCCATTTTATGGGATTATGTAACTTCTTCAAAGCACTCCATGGTTAATCAGCTTAAGCTGGTTGGGTTGTTGAATTCCCAGAACTAGCGTTGAACACCCGAGACGATTTCCTGTTATCCAGCATGTAAATGGTCCCCATACCTCACACTGTCCACTGCAGGAAACCACATGCAGGCTAACAAAATGTAACGCTTGAGTACTGATGACATTGTAAGGTTTATTTTATTATAGTAAAATATTCCATCTAACTCTGAGTGGACAGGAAGCTTTTCCTACGAACACTTATCGGTTGGAGAAGGAGATGCAGTACCACACATTCTTGTATTAATATTTTTCTGAGGCATGCTTCATCGACTGTTCACTTACTATCTACTGAGAACCTTTCATTTTCCCCACAAAATACCTTCATAAGCGGCTCCATTTGGTGCGAGTCGCTTACTCTCCACAGTAATCTTCCCTCAGAGCTCGACAACAAACATGTCAGACCTCGGCTTGTGGATCCCAAGCATGCAAACCCCTCAACCAAAAACCACATTATCAACAATGAAAGCGGCGCCGCCGCGGTAAAGGTCCGGCATATGACCTGCATTAAAACAGCATGTTTCCCATAATGCGTGAAGAGGAATGTGCAAAATGAAAAACGTTGGCTGCTGCGTGAGTAAAAGGGTCCTTCTGAAAGGAAATGTGGGAGTTAAAGGGAAAGTAATTCCCTGCATGCTTAGCCTTATTAAATATGTAGCAGAAAGGAAATGTGCTCTCTTTTACTCTTTAGCCAGACCGCCTCTGGCAGCGAACCAGGTGATGCCGCAGCCTGCACGTTCAGGTCGAAACCCTCCAATGTGGCCTCTTTCAAAGATAATTCTTCAGAGGGGATTATTCCAGGCATCTCCTCCCATGACCTTCACCGGCTGTCCTCTCCACCAGCGGATACAAACGCGCTTCTGTTCTGCACTGCCGTCCCTCGAGTGGCTTTAAATATTGAAGGTGGATAATGGCGTTCGCCTTCTTCCCGAGGCCGGGCGGACGGAGACGCAGGCGCACGCATGGCGCGAAGCACGAGAGGCCTCGTTCAGGAAAGAAAAAGCGGGGAAATTAACCCCCTCGGAGTGAAATCTTAAATAACTACGGATTCTCTGAACTTTCGAGGACACTTGATATGGTTTGAAAGGATGCAGTGAAATAAAACAATACATTGTTCTTGGGTATTTAACAGTCAGGCACAAACACAAATAACAGTGACAAGCTGTTACAACATAAAACATAATGATGTGCAAACACAAGTACGTTCAATACAATTGTAAACACAGCGAAACAAATGGAAATATCAGCCACTTAATAGTTCATTTATTTGAACTTATTTTAAATAGTGCAGAAAAAACTGGTGATCACAGTTTGGGAAGACGTAAGAGAGGTGGTCGGTGGTGTTGGTAGTGAAGGTGTGTGTGTGTGTGTCTGTGTGAGGGGGGGCGTCATGCGGTAGACCACCACATCTGCCCGGGCGCCATTCGTTTGCCCCACTTTGATTTGGGGCTTTTGGGAGACGAACAACGTCCTCCATCGGGGGAAGACAACAAAGGCCCTGAGACAAAAAACCAACAACAATAATCCCACCAGATTTTAACAGGACAACGTTAACATGCAGCGCAAACTTTAGAATAGAGACAGATGGGGGGGGGGCGTGAGGCTGCTATCGGGGTTCTTGGTGAGGTGTCAGTGAGCGTGTGAGTGGTGTGTTGTGTGTATTATGGGGTGGGGAAGGCGGGCGGGCGGGGGGTCCCCTTTAGTCAGGAGTGTCCAAACGGAGCCGGTGTGTCCAGGGGTCTCTGGACGATGACGGCGTTGGCCAGGTCGGCCTCCCCCAGGCTCAATTCCTTGTCGTTGAGTTCCCGGAAAGGAACCGACGTGGTCAGGACAAAGGGGGGGCAGCTCCTCTGGCAGCGCGCCACGAAGTCCTGAACATCCGCGATCCTACGGGAAGCATTTTGGGAAAAAATATATATATATTTATTCGCCACCGAGAACGGCGGAGCTGTTCTCCCCTGTAGCAAAGCATCACAGACCAAACAGAATTCTCTCTCTTGTGACACGTCACGTCTCTGTGTACTCGTCCGTTATTAATCACCCGCCACATACGAGCGTCCTCATGGCGGTGCACGCTAAGGCCACCTGAAGGTTGGAGGGGTTCAACCCTCCCTACCCTTTGGCTAACCCAGTTATATAAATGCTGCATCCCAGTTACGCAATCCCTCTCTGGGGATTTTATAGATCCACTCGGCTGCAACGTCTCAGATTATGTTTTCTGCAGCCCCGTGCACTGGGGCAGGGGGGGGGATGTAACACGGACCGTGCCTTCAACTCCAGCAGACTAGAACAAAGCATTACGTAATCCTCAAGCAAACCCCCCTCGCCAGCTCCCGAGCTTGTACAAACAAAAATCTCATGTCATCGCTTGAACTACTTATTTCTCTGCGTTGCTGGAGATTATGGGATTTGCAGACAGAGCAGTGAGGGTGGAAATTGTCGATTTAGTCCATGCGCAGAATACTAAATCGGCCTTTAATATGTGTATATTTTATGATCATGCCAAGCTCAGATGAGGAGAGGAGCGATTTGGGCCTTTTGAGGTTGCGATACACACCTATGGGATAGGTTAAACCTCTGCACCAATCTCCTGCCGTCAGCCAACCAGATCTGCAGGGAGGTAACAGGAAGGGCGTGGTCTAGTGTTACCATGGGAATAGGAGGAGATTCTCCATCCTCATGCACAGACGGTGACCTGGCCACCACTCTGGGGGCGACACTGGGAGTGGACAGGAATAAATAACAGATTAGGAGTGTGAACGCACACAGCACATTACATGTCATTGCCACGCGTATTGTTCATGATTCAGTGATGGAAACTCTGGAAGAAAATGTTTTGGACTATTGAGTGTTATAAAACTGTTGAGTTACTGAGATTTACTTTTTGGTGTTTTGATACCTGGATTAAGAGGGCCACCTAGTGGTGTAATGTAGTACAGCGCCTCGGCACTTGAGACAGACTTTATTTAAATCCTTCATTGATTATTTAAGCCCATATTTCGATACTAAATTATTCTTTAAAAAAAAATCAAACCGTGTTTCAACATATATAACGGTTAAAATAACCGATTAATGTGGTTATTTTATAATACTATCACAACTGCGACGTCTTACTGTACCTGCCAAGTCGGTACCCTTGGCCGCTGAAGGGGTGAAAGGCCTTTCGCCTGGGAACGTAGTTCTCCTCCGTCAGATCCTCCACACTGATCTCCAGCTCCTCCTCCTCCGCTCGGCTCTCCCACTCCTTCGGAAGCTCCCTGGGGCAGATAAAAGTCCAGAGCCTCGTTGGATCAGTCAACGCGACAAACCATCCCTGAGGAGCGTTGCGCACTAACTATTTCACGTCGCCGGGTTGTAAAATCCTAGTCAATGCAACAGTAACACCTGTGAAGATTCCATCCTGGTCCTCTCCACTCACCCCCTTTTGATGGAGTCCAGGAAGTCTTGATTCTCGGGAACGGAGTAGCTGCGGAACTCCTGATCGTTGACGGTGAAGCCGTCCTTCCACAGCCTCACCACCATCTCCACCTGCAGACGAAGGCCGCATAAAGGAGTCTGTATCAGCGATGAGCGCTCTATGAGCTGAAAGCAAGGCTCTGAAGGTCGCAGAGGTCAACGCAGGTCACTTAACTATCGTCCCAAAGGTAACTCCCTTCTGCTGTTTAACATTTATTTTTCATCTTTGTTTCTATTACATGCAGTTGCAGAAAACGTTTGTTAATTTCCCGCGTCGTCCTGCAGAAATGAAGATGAAGATGTGGCGGTGCGAATCACCCGCTGACCTTCGATGTCCCAGAGGCATCGTAGCAGATCTTCTCCACCTCGTGGAGGAGGTCTTCCACCGAGAAGCTACGCCTTATTGGAGCCTGCTCTTCACATTCTTCACTTTCTTCACTTGGAAACCCACAAAGAAATGGACAAGTGTTTCATTTATCACGATAGATGTCTTCCTGCAGTCACAGACACATTGAATTATTCAGTTAGCTTACAGTGCAGGTTTGTGAAAATGCACCAAAAGAAAAGAAGTGCTGGTGTTGATTCATCATTATCGATAAAAATCCAGTAATTGAGTTGCAGGCTATTTTTTTACTTTAAGGTAAAACGTTGATATATGTTATGTTATACTAAATAGATTGGTATGGACCAATGTACATACAAGTAAATTGATGATAAACTCAAAAAAGTCATTGCAACTCCCAAATACAATTGTCCCATTTGAATTTGAAGGGATTATACAAAGAATACATTTTCTTGACATCACAAATTACGACTTACCAATTGTCATCTCTCTCACCGCCCACACTGTCAAACTCCTTCATGACGTTGCGCGTGTTCCATCTGAGAAAATGAAAACGTCACAGACGGCCGCGTCACCAACGCACCTCACGCATTCACGTGCTCATGTATGCACGCGTTACATTCACAGGGGCTGCAAAACGGGTGTCGACAACAACGCGTTTACCGTCCGTCACGTGCGCGTCACGCAGAAAGCCGGGGACGCGCACCACGGAGCCCGCGGCTGCGGACCCGCGCATCGCACCGCGGATTACATGCACACAGTAGACGCTCGTCCGCATGCGCGTTTTAAGGGTTAAGGACACATACTGATTTACCAGTCCGCGGTCGGTCTGTTGATCCCCGGCACGTCTGCAGCGGCCGAACGCTTCGTGCAGCTGCTTCTGCTGAGCGACGTGTGTGACGCGGGGTGCCGTAAGTCGACTCCTCCTGTCGTGGTGAAACCGAACCGGGATGCTGAGCTCAGCACAACCACTTTCGGTTGAAACCGATTAAGACTGGTGATGCACTATACTATACTATCTATCCAACTATTCCTCTACCCATCCATCTGTCCATCCAAATTCCGTAACTGTGCAGCAGTAATTGTGCTGTCATCCTAATATTATAAACAAGAGATAAGAAAAAGGTCACACTGTAGAGATGGAACAGTGTAATATTTAACATTTTTCATTTTCAAAGTCTGTGCTCATATTTCTATAAAGGATGATGCACATTCATACCCTCTGTGCTGCAACATCTGTCCATTTGACGCTGAACAGTGGAGTGCTGAAGGGTACTCGCTTTTCTGGGTTACAGACTGAGCAGCTCTTTAACAGGAAACAAAAATAAATAATCCCCTCAGGAGCTTTTTTAAAGGGACCCAAAAACCGTAAACCAGATGGCAAGCACGTTTGCATTCCCATTCCGCCCGGGAATAGGGGAAACACATTCACGGGCACGCACGGGCCCACACACACACACACACCAACACACAGCCAGGTTTGGTTTCACCAGTGTTTCCCAATTGGGGGGGGGGGGGGGGGGGTGATGGGATCCCACAGGGTTTCTGGAGGGGTTTAGTGGAAGTTCTTGGTAAACTAAAGTTAAACACCCCCTTTTCCTTCAAATTCTGATCACAGGCCTCATGTTTGCATAGTTTTGATCACATACTTTCTGCCGATTTTGTAGGTCGACTGATATTTTTTTACATGCAAAATGTTCTCATTGTGAAGAAGAACTTTGTTCCTCAAATAACCCGGAGGCCGCCCACTTCCATCTGCTTGGCTTCGACCCGTCCGGCTGCTGTTCGTCTGAAGGGTACACTGTGTATTCATGTTTAAAAATGCAATATTTATTCGTTTTCATAACTTTTTGAAATCTTTAAATAGATTTATTGTGCTTGAAAAGTACGCACTAAATGGAAAGACTTTTAGCATTATACTTTACAGAGTTGACTATCGCCAGTTGGCAATTTAAGTATTTATCCTGCAATTAACAGTTTCTACTGAATCTCATGGTCCTTGTAATATTTGTGTAGTGTCTATAAGAGTAGTTACTATATGTCAACAAAAATGAATGCACATGACAAACATCCACTTGAGGGAGAGAGAGAGAGAAAGAGAGGGGGAGGAAGAGTGACAGCAAGAGAGAGAGAGAGAGAGAGAGAGAGAGAGAGAGAAAGAAAGAAATGGCGCCTCGATGCTGCGCTCACTGAGGCAGTCTTTGGAGCCGGCTAACGAGATCTAGTGAGGGCAAAAGGAAAAACAAACACGAACTAAACATGGTGAACACAAGGAAAAACTCCCGGCCGGGCGGCCCCTTCATCTCCTCCAGGACGAGGTCCTCGTCAAGAACCGAGCGGAACTCTGAGGAACATGTAAACGGTTTCTTTTCTCTCTTCTTCTCTAGCACCGGCGAGCTAGCTCGGCTAGCCGGCTAGCTAGCCGTAATACCGTGGCCTCAATGTGTCCCACTTTAACGTATTATTGGCGGTAAACGCGGGCAGCGTTGACACCTGACACCCACCTGGCCGCGCGGACACACAATAAACGAACCGGACGCGACGATGCGCGCGCCTGTCACTTTGTGCCGGACGCGTCGCGCGGACAAATGGGTGGACAAATCGCGAGCTAGCGCCGTTAGCTCCCGGCTAGCTCCAAGTTGAGTTCCCTTTGTGTTTGGCAGTTTGTGCCTTGACTTGAATTGACTTGTTCGCACCGTCGCCTCCCTCCCTCCCTCCCTCCCTCCCGGTGAGTGGAGACAGCCCGCGGCTTGTCCGGAGGCCGTCGGCCCCTCTGCCCCCCCGCCGACTCGGACGCGTTAGCGGGGTTTTATTTGTCTCAAATGTGACGAGATAAAGGCTCGGAAGTTAAGCTAGCGTCCGTCTGTTGCAGCTAGCCGCGACAGCTAGCCGGCGGTGGGGGAAGGGAGCCCCCGGGTTCACAACAGTCCGCCGGCTCGAGCCCCGTCATCTTTTTAGCGGGTCTGAACTTGGTGAACTTTCTGTTGCCAATGCCCAAATACCCGGACGCGGCCGGCTTTTGCCCCTGAAGAAACGACGTGGTTCCCAAAGGCGCCGGTTTCTAACGCCTCGCCGAGTGTCATTTATTTACTTCTTTGACAGGAGGACAAAACGAATCCAACGGCTAACGGTCTCACTGTGGTTGCGCGACTGCCTTTGTCTCACAATGTAAACACGGAGGTAATGCGAGGACTAGAGGACCCGTGTCTCCGCATTATTTACCCGTATTAATGCACTCAACGAGGACAAACCCCGATTAGATAAATTATAGATGATCAATAGCACATGGTCGAGTCCTAATGGGCTGTTTGGAGAGGATTTATACTTTTGACATTCAAGTAATTCCTGACTGTGGACACATGATAATGTGATCTGTGATTCGCAGGCTATAGAGTAATGCACCGAACACTTTCACAATGTCATTGCACAATAATATTGCTTTTTTTTTCATGAACTTAATGCTCAACTATTTCCGCCCAATGTCGACCATAGTTTTGTGACTCTTTGGGAAAAGGTTTTAAATGAAGGCTGAAACATCGATCCACAGCTGTGCATTTGTTCACTGTTGGTACAAATATGCACTGCTCCCACATCTGTATCTATATCCAATCAGTCAGTCAGGCTGTCAGACAGACAGACACAGCGTCTCTGCAGGCATCGCACTCGGTTGTCTACGACAACAGTGAGATATGCTCTCATATCGGCGGGGAAGTTGAGCTGTGAAGGGCGCGAGGATCAAGGGCGTGCGCCGAGGGTGCTCTGTTGTGATTTGTGGAATCCTTCGAGGTGTCTCGCCTCGTCGTATTCTACTCTGGGTTTTGCCATTTGAAGCACTTGCTGTCGTCTTTTATGTTGACATGGATGGGATTTCTTACTAGAGCAGTTTGTTCATGGTTGCCTGCTAGTTGCTTAATATTCTGGGGTTTATACAGGGATTGACGGGGGGATGTTTTATGCAAAATATTGGTGAAAGGCTGTCACGAGGTGTGACGCGCCATCCTCTTTGCTCGTTCTGATTTTTACATTTCGGTCTTAAATTGGTGTGATCCATGTTTTTGTTTTTTTCGTTCAACAGAAGGAGGCCAGTAGTGATGTGAGCAGTCCCAGCAGTCCGCGGCTGGCGCCCCCTTCCAAGCGGACGCGGCGGCAGACCGCCTCCGAGCCGAGCTCCAGCGATACCTCGCCGTCCCCACAGACCAAGGGCCAGAGGGTCAGCTGGGAGATTCCCACCTACCGCACCAGGTCAGCTGCCGGCCTTCGCCTTCATCAAACTTGAGCATCTCTGACGGATGGCGTGTCATCTGGCGGCTAATCACTTTGCTTTGTTTTTCTCTTTCTTCTAGGTTGTCGTCTCGCATAATGCAAAATGGACACGGTAATGCAATTCTCTTCAATTTGCCTCTTATTAAATTGCCATACGTCAAACGCTTTGCACGAGAAGCGCACAACGAAATAATTGTCTCTCTTTCTAATGAAAGTTTTGTCAATGCCGCAGCCCATCTGAGTCACAGGAATGAGCAGAGTGGAGGTGCAGATCACTCTCACATGAATGGGCACGTGGAGCTGAAGAGGAGCTGCCGGGGGAAGAAGAGCAAATTTGAACACCTCAATCAGAGCCTGCTGTTTGACCAGCTGGTCAACAGGTAGCTACATGTCGCTCTGCTGACACCGCCTTCCTTTGCAGTACTGTGTACAACACAACAGAAGCGGGATTTGGGGGAATTCATTTTGGAACATATTGAATTGGACTCCTTATACTTAGATTTTAGCTTCATGTTGTGCCGGTCCGCTTCCTTTTACAAAGCTTACCAACAGTATATACTGCGCATTCTGTACTATGAGTATTCCCTTAATACGTCGGTTTTATACCATGTACCCCTCATATTTGAACAGTGCAGCAGTATATTCAGGGCACCTGTTAACCTAATATGAATACTCTCAAGTTAGGGATGAAGATCAGCACATTCTATAGATCATAGACTTCCTATGAAGTAGGAATTGTTTCCTCATGTGTGTCTTCTGTGAAGGTACCTTCAGTTTGTCATATTCTGTTTTCTTGTGTGTGTGCACGCGCAGCACTGCTGAGGCTGTTCTTCAGGAGATGGACAACATCAGCAGCATCAGGCAGAACCGTGAGGTGGAGCGGCTTCGCATGTGGACCGGAGACACCGAGGAGGTGAGTGCGTTCCGGCTGCAGCACACGACCTTGAGGTAGAAAAGGACAGGTCCCCTGTCCCCATCCCAGGCCGGGTGATCTTGTGTGACTATTTGTGACAATAAGAGAGGGCTCTGTTTGTTTTCAGGAAAACCTGGACATGTATTCTCGGGTGAAGCGCAGGAAATCCATGCGCAGGAGCACTTTCAGCATGCCTACACACCACAAAGTCCTGAGCAAAAATGAGCAGGAGGATGAAGAGGAGGAAGGCACCGAAGGTCAGTTCCCCACTAACGTTCTACTACTCAGTGAACCACCTTAAATTCATCATAACTGAAACATCAGAATTCCTGCGTGTAGTCTACTTTAGTTGAACAATCTGCATTTTGAAACTGCACCTCGTGACTGTAGATTCTCACGGCGAGGAAGGGGAGGTGGATGCAGAGGACGAAGATGACGAAGGGGATGAAGCAGAGGAGGCAGGGGAGGAAAACGGCAGACCGTACAACCTGAGGCAGCGGAAGACGGTGCAGCGATATGAGGCCCCACCTATCGGTAGCCGCTGATCCTTTATAGATTCAAACCTTTTGTACACGCATTTCGTTTAGCGGCGTTTTATTTCCTGTTGTCCCTTTTTAGTTATCAGGTTTGGTCTGTAATAACCAGCCGCCTTGTGTCTGCTTTCGCAGAACCCGTGAACAGAAAACAGAGCAACCCCTCACTCTTTGACACCCACAGATCCCCAGCAAGAAGAAGCCATATAAGGTTGGTAGGAATGAGTGAAACGTCCGACTCAGCTCCGACACCGAACGCCTCGCAAAGCGTGGCCCCCAACCTTCGCTAATGAGCTCAGCTGTGGTTCTAAAACCTGTTTTTTCACGCACCCATTGGTGTCTGCTGAGTCAGGAACGGGTCTGTGTGTAATGGCGTGAAACTGAATCTCGATTGTCTCACCACGCCAGAGTGAAGAAACACGCCATTCACAGCAGTGACACCACCTCTTCTTCTGATGAGGAGCGCTTTGAGCGGAGGAAAGGAAAGAGCATGACCCGAGCCCGGAACAGGTAAAGGCCGGCGCCTTCTTCCTGATTTTAAATGCACTTACCTGGTAAATCTTCCTAAAAGGAACTTTAAAATAATGAACATCTGGATCAATACATGTCAGTTGCATTCATTTTTTTCCCCGCAGGTGTTTGCCCATGAACCTGACCTCAGAAGACCTGACGAGTGGGGTGTTGCGTGATCGAGCAAAAGTGGGAGCCAGCCTGGCGGACGTGGACCCCATGAACCTCGATAGCTCGGTGGGGGGGAACAAGTACCGCTTTAAAGCGGCGTCTGACCACAAATTTGTCTCCCAAGGAAGAACCCTTCTTTGAACGGAATGTTTTTTTTCTTCTCTTCAGGTGAAATTTGACCAGGTGGGTGGCCTCGGTAATCACATTCAGTCTCTGAAGGAGATGGTGGTCTTCCCGCTGCTGTATCCTGAGATCTTTGAGAAGTTTAAGATTCAGCCCCCCAGGTGCGAACAACTGAAATGTGTTTCTATTTGTTTTGGAATTCTTTTATTTGAGTAATAATACAAAAACAGAGCATATTAAATCTGATCACACATGTGTTGCTCACTTTCCTGCAGGCCTTTTGAACGTTGCTGTTGGTTCACAGATCCATGATTTCAAAGCGGCTTTCTTTTTCATCAACTCTGTCCATTTGATCTCCCTTTCCTTTTTAGAGGGTGTTTGTTCTATGGCCCCCCGGGGACCGGAAAGACCCTAGTAGCCCGGGCGCTGGCCAACGAGTGCAGCCAGGGAGACCGGAAGGTGTCCTTCTTCATGAGGAAAGGAGCCGACTGCCTCAGCAAGTGGGTGGGGGAATCGGAACGCCAGCTCCGCCTGCTCTTTGACCAGGTGATACGCGGCTATCGTGACTTAACGTCCTCATGCAGCATCACGTTTCAAGAAAATGTACTCATTTTTTCCTTGTGTGTGCTTTTGACCAGGCTTACCTGATGAGGCCATCCATCATTTTCTTTGATGAGATCGATGGTTTGGCTCCTGTTCGCTCCAGCAGGCAGGACCAGATCCACAGGTAAGGCTGATTTTTCTCTGCCCCACACATGTGACGTGCATCGGTGCAGCCTTCAACTGGTTTTGCTGGCGTGCATGTGGGCATGTGTGCACCTGCAGCCTACAGTTCTACTGCTGTTACTTTCCTTGCCAATAGGTGGAGCAGGTTTCCTAATCTTGGGGTGAAAAACTACTGTCACTACACTGCAGCTCTGATTTTTACAGAAATTGGATTTGGATTTGGGTGTTTCCCATCAGTTGCACATGAGTCCATATGTGTTCTTTTGAGTTGCCATGACAATAGCAGTAGTAAATCCTATCCATTTTGTTCGGTTTCTAGAGCATCTCTGCATGAACTGCAGGCGAGGATGTTTCCTATTATGCAAGCACAGCTTGCAGTTGAACCTCGTGGAAATGGAGCTTTGGTCTGTGAAATGTAATTCTCGACAGATGTTTATTTAAAACTTGAATCGTGCTCATGCCTGCGTTTATAAATGATGTGCTCGGGTAAATGAAAGTACAGCAATCTAGTCAAAATGGAAATGGAACTGTTGATATTTTTGAGCCCCACGCTGTTTTTGTTCAATCTGCATGCATGCTTGATAGACCAGCTCTTTTTCCTATTTGCAGAAATAATGTCTTGTTTATTTGGACGTCGATTTCGTTCCAATCTCAATCAAATATAAAATAGTTTTCTTATGTTATATGTCGCTGATGTTTTCCTGCGTCTAGCTCCATCGTTTCCACTCTGCTGGCTTTGATGGACGGCTTGGACAGTCGCGGGGAGGTAGTGGTCATCGGTGCTACAAACAGACTTGACTCTATCGACCCGGCACTCAGGAGGCCCGGACGCTTTGACCGGGAGTTTCTGTTCAACCTGCCCGACAAGAAGGTGAGACGCAGCCGGGTCGCGTTCAAGATGGACGTTTTTTAGCTGCGCATTGATCCTCAGTGGATGTGCCGATGTTCTTCATTCTTGGAGCGATCTTTTACTTGAATGCCTAACAGACGGCACCCTGCTTTCAAAAGTCCAACCTGCACAAAATCGCAAACTCGCAGGTGTGGGGACTTGTTAATCTTTTACTATGCAGGAAAGCACGTTCCGTGTGTCGGTCATGTGACTAATTCAGATGGGGCTCAGGGTAGGGGACCTTCGTTTGTCCGCACAGTGGGACCATTAGCACTCAAAGCCCGGGTGGAATCACTAGTCCAAATCCAAAACGCCACACATTCACCTTCAGTCCCAGAGAAGGAACCCCGCATGAGTTCTGTAATGAAAGGCGTGTTGTGCTGAAATGTTAGCTGGCCCTACTGTTGAGCTCACTCATGCACTTGATTCCTTTTTTGATTTCTCTCTTGCTGTGGTCAGATCTAGATTACGGTGAGTAAACATGTTCTCTCAACTATGCTATTTATTGTGTGATTTTGATTTGATTTGTTTGATGTGCCTTTTTTCTTTCTTCACTCATCAAATCAATCTATTTTTCTACATTGTTTGTTAGTGGCAGCCACTAGTTCAGTTGCACTTGTTACCATGCCAGTTTTTTTTTTTTTTTTGGACATGCTCTTCTTAGTCTACACTGAACTTGCGCCTCCTCCTTGTCCTCCTGCTGACTCGTCCTTCTGTCTTCTCCTTTCTCTCTTTCCACCACAAGGCCAGAAAGCACATCTTGGAGATTCACACGCGGGACTGGAATCCCAAGCTGGCCGAGCCATTTGTAGATGAACTCGCGGAAAAATGTGTCGGTAAGCGCGGCGCCTTTCCTTAAACTCGCACGCCACCTTTTCCTTATCCAGTGTCAGTTCAAGTTGTCATCTAATTAAACAAATCAACAGCTGACCTGTGCGTACTTGCTCTGCTCCCAGGCTACTGCGGCGCCGACATCAAAGCACTTTGCACGGAGGCCACCTTGGCGGCGCTGCGCCGCCGCTACCCGCAGATCTACGGCAGCAGCGTCAAACTGACGCTGGACGTGGCGTCCATCGTCCTCGGGCCCGCCGACTTCAGCAAGGCCATCGGGACCATCGTGCCGGCCTCCCAGAGGGCGCTGGCTCCGCCGGGCCGAGCCCTGTCCCCCGCCCTCAGGCCCCTGCTGGCAGGCTCTTTCTCCCTGGTGCTGAAAGCTCTGCTCCGAGTCTTCCCCCACGCTCAGTGCGCCGACAGGGACAACGCACACGGTAGTAGCTTCTAACCCCCCCTTCTTCCTCCCTCCTCACCTTATCATGGAAATGCTTTGTATCACCCTCACACACGGAACCTAAAGTGTGATGAAGCGCGCCCCCAGAGAACGCGGAGGTCGGATAACCAGTCATCCCGCTTGCACATGAATAGCTCCCGTCCGCCTCCAGTCAACGCGAGTCTTTACAGCAGATTAGCCTCAATGCAGCACTTGACCAGCGGGGGAATGCTGGCGGGAGTTGAACCCAATAATGGCACAGGTTGCTTTAAATGCCCATTACATCGCGCCCCCAATAAGCCAGCTCTCCTTTTTATCGTCACTTTATTTAGAGAAATTACCTCATTAATGTCCGCGATGGACGCCACTTTGTGGAGACAAACCTTTTAAGGGTATTTTTTTTTTCCGCCGCTGCCCTAAATAACCTCAAGAGGGGCTTCTCTTTCTGTGCCAGGCGGTGACAATCAGCTGCTCGAAGACGACTTGTACAGCGACGACGACAATGAGGAACGCTCCGCCTCCATTTACGAGGCCCCGCCCACTGGATCCCCAAAGACTCCGCTCTGCTCTCCTCCCACGCACAGGCCCTTCCTCCACTTCTCCTCGTGAGTCCGCAGGAGAAACAGAACAACTCACACACATTTATTTAGATATATTAATGATGTTATTATTTCTGTCTGTTCTAAAGAACGTGGTGACACACCAGGCTCACACAAAACATTTATTGCAACAGAATACAGATTTATTAATCTTTAACTGCCACCTCTTGTCTCCAGATTCCAAATTTAATCATTATTGAGTTCTCAGTTTTTGTGGCAGACGAGGAAAAACCGAAGAAATTTAATTTAAGGCATAACGCGTGAACATTTCATTATAAGACCTCAAAAAAAAAATATCGTCTCCGCTGGCTGAAATTCTTGAGCTATGGCGTTCACAGGAGTGGATGAAAGAAGCGGTGCATCAGAACAGCGTTGGCTTTTTCCATTCAGCTGGATGACTTTTGGCTTTTCATTTACTGGGACCCTTTTCCGTTGAAGCCATTAAGCACTTATCAAGGATCTAGTTTATTAAGTTGTGCAGAAGGCTGTAAAACCTTTTTGCTGCTAACGGTATGTGCCGTATACAAAAGAAAGAGCTGGAGGCAAACGTGTGGATTTATAGATTTATGGATGTAGAAACCGAGTGCTCTCAAAGCCAGGCTTTGTTTAATTCGTTATCACCCCCCCCCTCTCCCTGGTGCCACATTGGAAGCTCTCAGAATTCTCCAGGAGTTCAGAGCACACATGTGGCTCTTACACATAGCGAGTTCTGTGCAGGAGCCGCAGTAAAAGTACACGTGTGAACCTTTTACAACAGCCCAGCTCACGCTGCAGAGCCTGTGCGTGTCCACGTGACGGGGGGGTCGAGGGGAAAGAGTCTACACAATATGGTGCCAGTTTTTTAACTTTCTTTCGGCTTGTTGTTTTGTTCTTATTTTCTGTTTAAACTGCCGTCACTTGAGCGCAGAGTGGCTTCTGCTCCAGTTCAAGTGTCGATCAGAAGTGAAATAAATCTGTATTTATTGTCCTCTGATCGCTCTCCTTTCGGGGTCCTTGAAAATGTTTTTGAACTGAGCGAATAGCTCCAGAATTCTGCTCGTTTGCACTGACGGAGGTTATTAACTTGGTATCAAGTGTGTCTTTACAACCTGAGCTGAAGGACGTCCAAGCCGCCGCGTCTGAATGACATTATGACTTTTATTTACCATCGTCCCCTCCTCAGCTCCGCCCTGCAGCGGCCCACAGCATACCGACCCCGCCTGATGCTGGCCGGGCCCCCGGGCTCGGGGCAGAGCTCCCACGTGGCGCCCGCCTTGCTGCACCACCTGGACAAGCTGCCGGTGCACCGCCTGGATTTGCCCACCCTCTACTCCGTCAGCGCTAAGACGCCGGAGGAGTCCTGTGCTCAGGTAGCACGCGCACGCGCACACACACACACACTATGCATATCCCGCACGATCGACCATCTGTTGCACAGGTGGTTGAAAACCTGGAGAGACTGAGTCCTTATCGGCTCTTAGGTTTTGATAATTTGTACTCCAGCTCTTCTCTTCTCCATTCAGCTTGTTGGTGTCAGCGTACATACACAGTTCGTACAAATAGATATAAAGAGAATATAAGAAATTATATTTAATGTGGTGGGTCCTTGGTGATTATGATGATGATGATGATGATGATCACGTCCTGTGCTCAATCTACGCGTGTGGCTGCAGGTTTTCCGCGAGGCCCGTCGCAGCGTGCCCAGCGTGGTGTTCATGCCGCACATCTCCGAGTGGTGGGAGACGGTGAGCGACACCGTGAAGAGCACCTTCCTCACGCTGCTGCAGGACGTGCCCTCGTTCAGCCCGGTTCTGATCCTCGCCACGGCGGAGACTCACTACTCACAGCTGTCAGAAGAGGTGAGAACACAACGTACTCGCACCTGAGCTCACATCTGCACCTGGAGGCCTGGCCCTGGTTCCTCCTATGATTACCCAAGGCTGCTGGTGGAATTGCTTCCATTATGTGAGAGAAGAGTGTCTTTTTTTTATGGTATTGGAGGCATGATTCAAAGGGGTTTTCTTTCTTCCTCTGGCGCTCGGCAGCGACAGTGAAGACCCACACCGGGTGTCACAGTCAAGGTCATTTTGCGTTTGAGTTTTATCTACTTTGGCTCCGTCTGCCTTTTCTTGTGATTTGTCCCGCTGCCTACCTTTCACCGTGGGTATCCCCACCTCCGATCCTTCCCCCGGCCCCTTGTCATTTATTATTCTCTTTCCAAAAGCCAAAGCAGAGTCAGGCCACCTGCTGAGGGTCAGGCTGTAAGGGCGGGTTTGATTCAGAGTGGGGGGAAATTGGAGAATGAAAAACGAAGAAGAAGGAGAGGTTCTTCTCTAGTGGGGCAACAGAAGGGCTTTAATTAGATCCGGGGGTTGGTAGTACGATGTCTTCACCCCAGGACACGTGCGTTCTGTTTTCTGTTCATTTATGGGCTACAAGGAGAGCTCGTACTCGCTCTTCTCTGGAGTTTCCTCACGCTGTTAAACCCACTGAGGCTCTTTTGTTGTGTAGTTGTCACACACCCCCCCCCCACCTTTTGGTTTACTCTTCTTGTGGTTTTTCTTTCTTTCCCTGTCATTCTTTGTATCGTGTGATTGATATTTCCGTGTAATTCTTGCTATTTACCGAGGCTGTATACTTCCCTTCGCTCCACCATGTTTCTGTTGATTAGCAGTATGAAAGTGGAGGTATCATTCCGCCTCTGTGTCTCGTGGCAGATTGCTATTCATTACATGCTGGGTGACTGGCTGAAACCACGTAGGATTGGCAATTACTTTTATTCATTAAATTACCTTTTCTTTGGCCATTGAACACGTAGCGCGTAGCCTGGAGAATCGGCGAGCTCACGATGTGACGAATGGTGTGCACTGGTCCATATGGAGCCGGCACGAGCATATGCAGACTGTCCTCAGGCCCCGTTGGCCTTCGTCCTCATTCTAGTGCTATGCTCTGCTGGAGTTGCATCATTGCACTCGTTCCTCAGTTCTTTTCTTGACTTTTCTTTAGTTGCATTGTGAGAAGACACAATCTTTTCTCATTTTCAAAGAGCCATTTCAAAGCAAACCTAAATGCTTATACAAATATTCTTGCCAAACCCAGATAGTGGACTCCCGCCGCCTCTGCTGCAGATGCTGTACTAGTTTGTTGCTGTTGCTGTGAATCATTGAGTAATTTCCATTAATGGTTATTTTGCTTTCTTTTGGTTTCACCACTTGCTATTTGCTCACACATAAAAACACAAACCGCAGCTCTGAAGTTTCTGGTTATGTGGAGGACGGGCGTACAACCGCTGCTCCCCGTGATCCTGCCTGTGAAAATCGCTACGCTGCCGGGGTCCCAGTGGGGCCGGGCCCCGGGGCATCCAGGCAGCGTACGGTCTGCAGGTTATTCGCTGAGTGAGCGATTTCTGCTGTGTGTATGTTAAGCATGTTGTTTTCCTTCATTGATCTGCCCTATATCCCGTTTAGTTTTGTGAATCACACGATCATAGTGGCCCAGTAGCCTTTTGAGGAACTTTTTCTTTTTGGTTTGGGGCAGCTTCTGGTAATCTTGGCCCTTTCTATAAACCTTGTTTCACTCTCTGGCCCGAAGAACACAGCGACTGCTGCTGCTGTCTCGGCTCCAGACCGCAGCAGGGAAGAGACAGCGTCCCTCCCCAGCCAAAGCCGACACCGCAGGCCGGAAATAGACACAAGATGTGGTTTAAAGCAACGCTGTAACAAAAGATATCATTGTCATTTTGAGACCATTTTGTGCCACTGATATGATCGAACAGCATAATAATGCAAATACACGCTGTCAAAGAGCAATTTACTTGTGATGCATCACATCATCAAGGCATTCGATGGAAAATAAAAGCTTAAAAACACCCCAGCATGAATAAATGATTAAAAAAAAGTAATAACTGGAAGGATAACTGTCTCCGCTGCGGTCTTGGTAGTAACCCCCACCCCCTCCCCCCGTTTATTCAGGCACCACTTAGGCTGAAATGTTGGTGACATTTTTATGTAAACACAACGGTAATATCAAAAACTAAATAAGGGAATGTAGTCAGAGAACCAGATTGTAATGAATTCATACATCTTGATGCACAATAAGGTCCTGAGGCCCCAACGCGCCCCCCCGCCCACCCCTCTGCCACACACTTTTTAAGCTTTCCTCTATCCCCACATATCTTCCAACGCTCCGCGTGTCAACACCCCTGCAGCCTTTTATCATGATGAGAAAAACTGAGGATGATTACCCGCTGTGTGCTTCGCACCCTTTGGCCCCCCCGCAGTCCCCCTCTTCCCCCTCCTGTCTTTTTGGGGCAGTGATGCAAAATCCAGAGAGAGAGGATAAGCAAGAGAACAGAAGGTGGAGAGAAAGAACAAACACTTGATGGGTAAGGGAGGGGATCGATGTGAAAGACAGATGGGGGAGTTTAAGGGGGGAGGGGGGTCGAGCGTAAAGTATGTGCTTACTCAGCAGCAGGACTTCCTGTCGGGAGCAACCTTGAGCTCCACCGTGAAGCCCCTTGTAGCCCCCCGTGGCTCAGTGTAGATGCAGACTAGAAGTCTGTCGCTGAAAAAAGGGGTTTATGAATTTGTCCACTACTGTGCGGTCACGTGACCCACAAATAGATGCTTTAGAAACGGGAGGTCTTAAAATGTAAATATTTGCAGCCTAATTTATTTTCAGGATATTAAACCTCTTTGCTTCTTGATGATGCTTTTATTTCTTATCTTTCTTATTTGCAGGACTTGTTCGAAGGCACCACAGTATTCCATGAATACACGATATTAGTTTACAGATAATCACAACTCCTCCTCGGCATTGTACAAGTTTGCTTATGGATTTATTTTGGTTTCACCTTCAGTCTTGGAACAAATCTCTGGGCTACAATCGTTGTCTTCTCGATTCTTCACAGTTGGTTTTGTTGGTTCGCCCTCTGGCGCTTTGGAGAATAATACAACAGATACAGAACAGTCGAGGAGAAATGGATCTCGCTCTACGTGCCGAGCTTTAAACAAAGCTTTGTTTTTGGATTTTTTCCAGTCGATGTTTTAAATGTCTGAAAGCTTGAGAATGTGTGCTGGCTCCCGTCCTCAAACGGCTGCATTTTTAAAGGCGATGCATCATTAATGAAGTTTGCTTCGATCAGGTATCATGTGACCTTGAAATGGCTTAAGAGCCTTTTTTCTTTTTAATCACTGTTGCAGTTAACCTGGACATAAAATAGGTTTTCTGTTAATGAAATCCTGAACTTCTAAGCACCAGGCGTGGTCTCTTGTTAATGGAAGAGCCGACGAAAACTGGCACAATCAGCTCCACGCTGTCTTTTATGTAGCAAACAGAGTGGAGTAATCAGTTCAAGAAGACAGTGGTTGATGAAATGATGTGTAATATTCTAAAACTTCTACAAGGAGCTGCAATTAAGAGCTGAAAGAAATGCATTCAGTGTGTTATGTAGGAAACCTCAGACACAAACCTCCCGCACAGAACCCACTGTTCTATCAGTAAAACCAGCGTTTCAAGCTTGTTCTATGCTTTAAATTGTTTTGCATAGCAATGAATCTTGGACTGAATCTTTTTTTTTTTTTTTTCTTTTAACCCACAGCTAAGAAGTATGTTCCAGAGGAGCTACGGGGAGGTGGTGACGCTGAGCGCTCCAGGAGAAGAGGACAGGAAGAGCTTCTTCTCCGACCTGCTGTTGGTCCAAGCAGCCAGGGCCCCGCCGCGCCTCAGGAGCACAGGTACTAGTGGAGTACACGTACTTGGAGGAGGGCTTGGTGGACTACAAATAGCTCATCAGTGTTTGAGCTGTATGAGTCATATTTTCACACTGCAGTTAAAGGTATTACCAGTTCAGATCTGTTTAATATCACTTTTGATTTCGTGCGTGAAGCCATTATTTATTCTGAATATCATCCGTTGCCTTGAGTGGTCCCCTCGCCTCACGCTCAGGTTCAATACAACACAACGCTCCACCCGGGCTTTCAAATGGAAATTGTGGCCCGGCATTCATTGATGCCAGGCAGGGGGTCCCCGGCTGCACTCGCCCCGGTGCTCTTCAGGGGTTCCTGCCTCAATAAGACGGCATTCTGGCCTCCAGCAGGGAGCCGGACTGAATAAGCAGCGAGAGGAGCCGCTGTGAGCAGCTGCTGTGAGGAGTTGCTGTGAGGGGCCCGGCTGTTATTAGCCATAACTAGAATCAGGGTTTGGATCGCCTCTAGTGAGCGGAGCGGCCTGAGGTGCTGCCGAGAACTTCCTAACGATGCCGGCAGATGCCTGGGGCGAGGACTGGTGCCTCTACTTCTGCTGTCATATTCCAGAGGCTTTTCATAAACTCATTTCTAAATACCTTTGTTCGGGAAAGCTCTTAACCTGTAAGTAAAGTATTTTTTGGTCTGCGATGACGATGAAAGGATACGGTCTGAGATCAGACAACAGATCAGGGTTGAGTTCTACGTATTTCATTGGTGCAGACAGAGTGGTGTCCTGGCCTGTAGCTGAGGCCGTTGCTTGTTGTTGCTACGGGCAAACGCTCTTCGCTTAGTCTCTGGGTTCCCCCGGTGGCGATTCGTCTGCACCTTGTAGATGTATGAAGACGCGTTCTGTGCTTGGCTTCCATCAGGGAGGTGCGAGGAGGTGCTGCCGGCGGCGGAGGCTCCTGGCCCCAGAGTCCTGTCCACAGAGGAGCAGCGGCGCCTGGCCGAGCAGGAGGAGAACACGCTACGGGAGCTCAGGCTCTTTCTCAGGGACGTGACCAAGCGCCTGGCCACCGATAAACGTTTCAGCATCTTCAGCAAGCCGGTGGACATTGACGAGGTAAAGACGAAGGAGCCCCAGTGTCGCTCTTGACCAAGACCACCGTAACCCTGTTTTTAAAATGAACTTTGCGTGTCAGGTGTCGGACTACCTGGAGGTCATTCGGCAGCCGATGGACCTGTCCACCGCCATGACCAAGATTGACACGCACCAGTACCTGAGAGTGAAGGACTTCCTGGGGGACATTGACCTCATCTGCAGTAACGCTCTGGAATACAATCCTGACAAGGACCCTGGAGGTGAGGGCTGATATTGCATTGGCATGCTCATGCACGCACGCACATGCATGTACAAAATGCAATTTACAAATTCATTTTGCACAATTCACATACACTGTATCAGACGTGTACTTGATTGTATGTGCACACAATCTATGAAGTTTTAATAAATACAATAAAATAGAAACCGACATTTTTATGCTAAAATAGAAAAGATTTTGTGTCTTTATTGAGGAGAATAGAACGCAAGCCGATACAAGGGAATGACAGGTTGTAGTCCCAGCGTATGCCAACTTAATGGCCTTTGTCTGCCAACCCGTGTGTGTGAAGAAGCAGATGCTTTCATAAGTCACATGTCACTTTGAAGGTCGCGTGCAGCACTACAGTCAGTAGTGCCTCTTCTCTAAGATGTAGCTGCATGTCTAATGGAAGCCATTGTGTATAATGGTAGCCAAGTGTCTGAATGATGACATGTAGTGTTGAAGCACTTTGAGGGGTCAGAAGAGTATAAAAACGCTTTTAGAACTACAGTCCAATTACCATTCACATCTTTTGGCAAATACCAAGATGGCGAAAGTAAAAGCTGTCCTCAAATCGTCAAGGTGAAAACGTCCATTCCTTTAGTTTGAAAGTGACCCCAATGTGCCGCGGGAGGGAAAACGGTGTCGTGTTGTGTAACCTGAGGGGTGATACTCAAGGTCCTTCACAACAGCAACTAAGTGAATTCACTCAAATGTCGAGAAACTCCTTTAACTCAACTTTCAAAAGAGATTATCCCTAAAAGTGTGTACTGAAAAGCAAGCTGTCACACTTCTCTGATGTTCCCATGGTGATACGTCGACATTGGAGTCTTTCAAATACGTGTGAGCATGTGTCTGTGTAGTTACTGTTGTCTTCCATTAGGCCGTCATTGTGGGTAAAAAGCAATTAGATTCAACACTTAATGACTTAAGGAAACGGCTTCCAGGCAGTCAAATCATAGAACCTCGAGACGGTTTTCTTCAACTTGAAAATTCAAACAAAACAAGGTGCATATATGCATGAAAATGTAATTGTCTCTTGTCTTGCAGCCGATGTGTACATCAACCTCCCAACCGTCTTACACCTTTTCCAAAGCCAAATATGGGCTCCATGACGACGGCACACACGCAACGCAAACAAAGAGGCCTGCTATTTGCTGTAGCTCCAAAACTGAATTGGATTTCTATGTATTGTTTAAATGTCTACCTGCTGGCATGACCGGTAAAAGCCGATAGGTAGTGGGACGCATGTATAACAAAAAATAATAATATATAAAACATGGGAAGGATACTTGAAGAGCTTGTTGCAGTTAAAATTTGTTTTTTTTACTAGATTCTAATCCTCCAAAACAAAAGGCATGATGGTAATTGAAAGCTGCATACAGACGACCTGCTTTGGACTTTCAATTATTATGACCGCTTAGATTCTCGCACTGTGGGTTTACCTGCTTTGTTCCCCCATAAAGATGTAGCTGCCTGACACTGATGGGAAGCAATTATCTGCCAGCCCAAATTAATAAATCATATCTCTGTGTTTGCAGGCGGGGGGCCAGGGTCATTTGTTGGAATACAGGGTCTGCAAATGAAACACTAAAAGGGAAGGAAAAAAATGCAATTAGGCAGGTTAATAAAGAAGACAAAACAAAGATTCTCAGCCGGCGCCTTTCCCGGGAAATATGGCCTTGCACGATTAGGCTGCTGGGGAAATTCTTCACCGGCTCAAAAAAAAAAAAAGTGCTCTGGGAAAAAAGCTCATTATCCGTCTCTCCTTGTCCTTCGCGCTATCTTCATTGCACCGTCCCCCCATGTGCAATCATGTCCACTTTTCCTGGTGTGTGTCCCCCCCCCTACATCACTAAATAATAACTCGGTCACGTTTTAAAAAGGCTGATATATCAGTGCTCCACAATGCGACGCGCTGCCACTAATGCGTCTTTTATCGCTCGAGGCGAGTTGTGATAAGGACCTCGTTCACATGTAGAAATGTCGACGTTGTTGATAGGGGGGGAGGGAGGGTCATTCAGGGCCAAAAGAGTTCTGATGAGCTCTCGGCATCCCACCTGGCCTTTGACACCCCCCAAACCCACCCACTTATAATGCACTTGGACCTGCTCTGTCAGTAGAAAGAAACGCACACAAAAATGGCCTTCATTGCAATTAGGCATCCGTCCTCCAATTAAACCAAAGGAAGCGGACAGATTGCGACCTCTCTGCCTGAACTGCCCCCCACCCTCCCCCTCCCCCTCCGTAATGAGAGGCAGTCTGTTTACAGTGCCGATGCTTTTAGTCTGCCACTTCAGCTCCGTCTCCGTTTTCCCTCCGTGGATTAAAAAGGGGGGATTTTAATGATGCTGCGCTACATCTGAGGGAGGCGCGGCGTACGAGTGGCCGAGGTGTAAGGAGCGTGCTGCATTTCGGCCGGCGTGTCTGTGCTGCGTAAGTGTTGGTATCAAGGCTCTCGTGCGTTGCTCGAGTTGTGCCTGTTAACGCTTCTCACCAAAGCCAACTGTATCCTCTCATTCAACCTGTGAGAAAATGCCACGATCCTTTTCTCACACGTACAGTGGAATGGGTATCGACTCACATTGCCTCACATTTCCATACATGATGGGAGGGGTGTGGGGGGGCGGAGAGCATGCGACATTAAACTGCAAACCAAATAGAGGGAAGAAAAAAACATGTATTTAAAAGAGCAAATATTGTTGTAATTATACGGCAAACCCTGCCCGGCTGAAGAGATGTCAATCACAGCAAGCCAGTAACACTGATGTCTTGTTCCACTGTGTCCTCCTCTCCCAGACAAGGTCATCAGGCACCGGGCGTGCAGCCTGAAGGACACCGCTCACGCCATATTTGCTGCCGAGCTGGACCCAGAGTTTGACCGCATGTGCGAAGAGATCAAGGAGGCGCGCAGGAAGAGAGGTAAGGAAACGACTCTGAGTACTCCTTAAATAACACACACGCACACACCCACACAATGATGAACAACATCAACGCTTTGTAGCCAGGGATCAATGTCCAGGCTTGAAAATATCCTTCTTAACACGAGTGGCAACTGTCTGTTAATACGCAATAAAAACATGAAACGGATTTGTATCATTCACTAAAATACAACGTCAGCTTCCCATCTTGGAGACAAAGAGTTCTGTAAGTTGAGCAGACTGAAAATACGTCTCCCATCGCCGAGTCGTGTGTACGGTCCGTCTTATTTGCTGGAGCAGTTGACACGGTTTCCATTGCGAGAGAACGGCACAGTTATCAGGAGGAAGATGATCACCTCCTCTCTTAGTTACTCCGTACTTCATAAACGTTGGTGGCTCCGGTTACTTGATAAACACCCATTATTTTGTCTGCATTTCTCATCTGAAACTAGGTTGTGTTCTGTATATTTTTGGTAAAGCAGCCTAATTTAGCATACTAATAACACCAAAGTGAAAAGCCTCATTTGTTAAGCCAAATAAATAAACATTTAGGACCAATACTCGCTCACTTGAATAATGAGCCCAGTGTGCAGCTCCCGGCCTGTTCAGCCACTTTCCTTTTCTTTTCTGCTTTCTTTTGTGTAGAAAGCTTTGATAGATTATTTCAGAGAATAGAAACCTGCTTTCTGGGGGGGGAATAAATTAATCTGTAGTCTTGCCCAGTGGCGCTCGATGGAGGTGGAGTCCGTTTTTTTTTCTTAGTCTCGATGCCCGAGGCTCCAGCGCTTCCTGCGGTTCCTTCTGTGCTCTCACCAAACAGCCCCCAGCACCACTCACTGCATTTAGGGTAACTTTAGATTAGGCTTGTGCTCGTACAGTGTCTCCTTAAACGATACACTTCTAAGTATTGACTTCCATGCACTTGTCACTCTTAAACGTGGAGGCAGATATCTACTCGTAGTCCGGATGCTGTGCTCGTCCACGCGGGGATAGACTGACCCAGGAGTACACGTTCAATACCCGAGTCAGTAATAAATGAGCCCCTCGCATACATTTTCTCTTCTCTTATTGATTGACCATGAAAACATGTCTCCCCCCCCCCGCACATGAACATGTTTATTTCACCCTCATTAGAGGCGGCTTCCAAGTCTCAATATGCATTCACAGTTCCTCACACTCGTGTATTGTAATCCATGTAAGCCCAGAGCTTATGATGTGTGCAGTGCATTCAACACAGTAGTACCAATATATTCTGAGAACGGGCAGCTAATTTGATGGCATATCTAATTGTTAAATCAAACCTGTAGGTTTTAAAAAAATCAAAAATAATCACCCAGAAGTTAAATGTTTACAGTCTTTTTTTGTGTTGTTTTCCAATATTCATCTGTATGTCACAAGCGCAAACCGAGTGATTAAAACTCTAAAATGCGTCACACTTCACACACGGCTCACATTTATTGAGATCCATCCTAAGCCGGCGCGTAATCTGCAGATGGTGTCGTTGTTACAGCAGTCTAAATGTCAGAAGTTTCCTCCTGTTACAAAACTGAAATGCTATTTACACATTTCCGTATCCATAACGAGGCAGCTTCACTTTCTATGTTGTTTTGTTCTTTACCAGAGTAAAAAGAAGACAGTCGCACATCATCATCCTTTCTGTTCCGTCATTATTTGTTTTAGTGACATTCTCAGACACTTAAAGCTCATACGCGTATTAATGCAACTCCACACGAGGACCTTTCACTCGTCAGTCAACACGTGATCTAAAGTATCCTCAGTGGTTTGAATCACTCCTCAGAGGCCTGGTTCCTTTCCTCTCTAACCGGAAGCGAATCAAAGAGGAAGCACCTCTCAGAAGAAAGGCTGCTGAATTATTATTGCAGGAGCACGAGGTAAATGGCAGAGATGTGCAGTGGTGTGACGGCCGAATATCGCCATCATCATAATAATGATGCATCCATCGCCTGAGGGGAGGAATGAGGCAGTGTAAACATTTCATCTTCTCGTCAATGTCCTTCTATAAACCCACCAATTAGCCCGGCCCCCGCATGCCGGCTGTTTTCCTCTTGTGGTGGGGGGGGGGGGTCAGAAGATGAAAGGAACTGTGATTTCTGGGCAAAAAACTATACCACTAGATGTCAAGAGTTGAGATGTGCCCCCTCCCCCCCCCGCCCCACTGCTGCTTTTCATTCCTGACATTGAGGATATTGTTCTGGGTCTTGTGGTAATATTCGCCCTGATTGACTTGTTGTGCTCGTCGTTTTGTTTATACACACATCCGCGGACACACCAGCACTCTCACCGGGCGGCAGGACGTTCCTGAAGTGTTTTCTCTTCCAACGCGCACACAGCTGCACGCGCAAAGAGCGTTGTCTGTTGTCGGTAACCGATCCTCTGTGGGCGCCCGCAGACCTCCAGACGCCGGCGCAGCCGACGCCGCTGACGGCCGCCGTGGCAACCAGGAGGCACCAGGCTGCAGCAGAGGAGCAGGCCAGCAGCAGCGCTCGGGGCGAGGCCGCCGACAAACAGTGCAGCACCAGTGAGTATCCACGCTTTGCCCTCGACGTACGCGCTGATCGGCGCCCAGAACCCGCACGGGACGCGTTGAGTGCAAATGTACATCTACTTTTTTATACACCTGCAGCTCAAACAAATAATTGAGTATGTTTTTAACTTTGTTAGACTCGCACTCACTCGGGCGCTGGCTGCCGGTTACTCGCCTTGTTTCGTTTTCTTCTTTCTTCTATTGGCCAGCAGCTGTGTTGTATAACAACATACCAGATGTATGTGGCGAATCACACCTGCCGGCTCTCTCTCTCACGCACACGCACACACGCATAGGAACATATTCCTCAGAAGTGGAGAAGCAACACAGCGAGTAGCCTCATTAGCCAAGCGGCTCTCTTCTAACCGTTCAGAACATGACCACGCCACAGAGCAATTACATGCCCACCTGTGGTAAACGGCAGGTGCCGAAGGCTGAAGGGAGGCCCAGGTATGGACAGGGGGGCAGACTAATGAGGCTGTTACCTGAACAAATCGGCGATAAGCAGCTTTTACATGTGATCTGAAGACCGGGCTCCCACCTGGACAAAATAATGGGAATGGTACGGGGCTAAAAGGAAACTTCCAGATACGACCATGTGACATGTGAGAGGCAGAAGGTGGAACACTCTGCACGAGTAGTAACATATCAACAGACTGAAAAAAAAAGATTCTCCAAACTCTTGTCTTGCTGATTAATGCCGATGCCGTTTCTTTGTGACTCAGCTTGAGGTTGGGGTGAATGTGTGTGTGTGTGTGTGTGTGTGTGTAGTACAAGTGTCCAACACAAGGTGGCGCTTGTCCCTCACTGGAGCGTCCCTCATGGACCCCCTGCTGCGTGGGTAAACCAACTCCCCCCCCCCCCCCACCTCCCCTCGTGAGAGACAAGGGCCTCCGTTGGCAACCATTAATACTGTAAGACTCTCTGTTGAGATCACTGCACTTCATCTGCTAAGCCAGGAGAAAAAGCAGCCAAATGGTAGGGGGGCCATATTTAATGAATTGGTTAATTTTACCGCCATCAATAATTCAGTGCAGGTTGAGCTAATGGAGTCCTGATGGAGGACTCTAACACCGGACATGTGCCAGTAGCTTTTCAGAGATTCTTTTTTAAAATAGATGTTCTACCCAGTACACACACAGGACCACAGTCAATAACTACAGCTTTAATTCCCATAGAGCTAATTCAACATCTTTGACACTCAATTGGGTACAACTTTGCATTTCATTATTATCGCTTCGTGCATTATCTACAGTAGTGATTGTGATATTGCACATCAAACCGTAAATGTCTAACAACTAATTCATATTTGGGTCATCCGGGGAGCTCGACCTTCTTATTTTAAGGGTGAAAATGACCCCTTATAGCTGTATATTTTTATCTCCTGCGCCAAATGTCACAGATGCGGACCAGCAATTTGGAAGCTCTCTGGAGAGTCGTTATCAGCCCCCACCAGAGGCTTAATTAATTAGGCTAACTGGCTGAGGTGATTAATTTGTGACATCGACAGCCAGTTCTCACCTGGAGCGCCTCGGCGAGGCAGCCATTAGGCTAATTGATCGCGCAGTCGGTTACGTCGGGAGATTGTGACGCAGCATCATAACGAAAGCCCCCCCCCGTGCCACCTTCCTCTACTTCCATCCCGGTTCTCTGTCTGCCTGGAGCTGAGAGTCGCCCGGGACATCCAGATGATGCGGGGGAGGGGGACGCGGAGATGAGTTGCACTATTTTGAACCGTGCAGAAAGTTACGCGAGAAGCTTTTTCGAAGGGATATTTCTGGATCAGGTGTTAAAAGCAGTGGCTTAGCCCGCTTGTCGAGATCTGGAAAGCTGGGGGTAGGTCAATCGTGGAGGGGGGGGGTGATGGGGAAACCTCTCTGGGGGAACAGGAAGAATGGTTTCATTAGCCCGCGTGGGCAACTCAGTCCTTCATGGTTAAGGCCGGCGCATGCTTCTGCGTCGCCGCACTCGTTTCAATTCATGGTTCTAAAGTCTTGCGTGTGTTGCAAAGCAATTCACCGCCAGAACAACAGGCCATCTGCGCGTCCTCATAGTCCGCCAATGACAGCTTGTATAAGCGGTCATATTTACGCATTTCTTCCGACAAAAGCGCTTCAATCTGATCCGTTCTCTCGTAAACATTCTTCGTTTTAATAACAGCGGTATTGTGCTATGTAAACGGAAATGTGAGACTCCGTGAGACTAAAGGATGTAGTCAGCAGACCAATCGCAGCCTTGCGGGCTGCAGGAGGCTAGAATAATGGGTCGACGCATGCAAGGAGGTGTGAAAAAGCACGCAAGGGACACGCAAGGGACTCTTGCGTCTGCGTGTCCCTTGCGTCGCTCTGAAAACGCAGAAGCATAAACTAGGCTTTTCTCTGCTTGCCCTTTGCACACAGCGCGTCTACCCCCCCGTCTCTTGTCCCGTCACTCCCTCCCCGGAGAAGCAGAAAACCAAAGGCCCGTAACATGGGCCACAACACGGGGTTCATTGGAAGTGCAGCACCACACGGATGAGGTTCATGCCGAGTGCCTTCCTTTCATCCATTATTAAGACCCCACTTCGCTTTCCTATCAAGTCAATCATGCATGTGCATGTGAGCTAAATCAGCAGTCTGTTTTTCTGTGACCGTCCGAGGCCGCGGGCTGTTGATGGCGTCACAAAATATCTATTGTCTGATTATGAAGCCGTAAATTCCAGGTTGTTGTTGTTTCAGCACCGATCGCTGGTGTTTTTCCACACGTCAACGGATAGGTCGTGTCCTCACGCGCCCCCCCCCCCCCCCCCGCGCATTCATCTGCGCGGAACGCCGCTGCGTCTCGCCGCCTCGCATTCCGACATCAAGGCACACGGACGCCTCCTCTCCCCTGCATCGCCAACGTCGATCCATCACAAGACCTTGACGGGATCTTTAAAGTCATAAGAGCAACTTCTGCCTGGAGTAGTTACTGCTTCAAAGGGGATGCTCGGGATCTTTCCTTTGCGAGGACGAAAGCGGCATTAACCTGCGCCGTGAAGGCCGCAGTGCAGGTTGACAAGAGGCCGCCCGCTTTGAAACGCAAAACGATATTCTATTAACATCGGACTTGCTGCTCCGGGGAAAGGGAACCTTGAGGCAAATGGCTTTCGCGTGCTCGCCGAGGTAAACCGCGTCTCCCGAGGAGCTGCTTCAGCAGAAGCCACAAGCAGGTTGCTGCTCTTTGCGTTGTCGTTATTCCGAAGCTCTGCCGTGCCACGAGTGTTTCAGTGCAAGTGATACGTGGGCGCACGGCGCAAGCTCCTCTTTCTCTTCTTTTGGCAAAAAAAGTAAATCTAGAACAGGGTTTTTTAATTATTTATAGATAGCGGTTTATATCTTTGCTCTATTCCTGTGGTAGAATTACTTCCATTATTTCATAATGTATGTGTCAGCATATATCGCACGTTTCCGTCCCCATTGAATAATGGCCGTCTGAACTGCGTCTGGTGCAAACTGATGAATGAGTTCTTCAGCTTCCTTGGGGAATGAAAAATAAAACCGTGCTATTGGTCAACGGTGTGCATCTCACGCCTCGACTATCGTAACTCCCTCCTGGTGGCTCGAGGTGCCTTTGACCTCCGACCTCTGCAGTTCATCCAAAATGCAACCGCTCCGCTGGTCTTCATTGACCCACACTGCTGCCTCCGCTGGTCATCAGTCTTCACTTTCTTGAAGAAATGTTACTTTCTTGGTTCTTGTTGTTCTGTGTCTGTGCCCTCATGGTTCAATCCACTTATTGTAAGTCGCTTTGGATAAAAGCGTCCGCTAAATGTAAAGTAATGGTCTACAGCAGAAAGCACTTTTCTTTCTCTCTGTGCAGTTGTTGCTGCGTGATAAGCGCACAAGTTGACAAAGTAGGGTGGGAAGGATTCTAATGTCTTCCCATTACGATGCAGTGCATATATAGTTATAGAAATTATGCTAAACTGCCTTTGTTTCTGCCTGAAAGGAGTGAGCCCCAGAGAGCTGCGCTGCAATGATTGATGGATTGTCTTTGTGCATGCCCAGTAGCCGCTGGGATGAGGATGACAGACAGGTGATGGGGTGGTGGTGGGGGGGTGTAAAGCTCTGCAGCCTCCCCGCCGCGTCTACGCGCCGCCGTGCCTGTTGATCTGACTGATGAATCGGATGGACGGACCTCAAATGGCGCATTCATTGCTTCGACCCCATCTCTTCTCCCCCTCCAGCTGGGGAATGCGCGTCGCATCGATACCCGCCGGCAGACGGGTCTGCATTCGCACGAAGCATCGACCGTCCAGCCGCTCCAATTAAAGCGGATCCGGGGGCCCTGCTTTTCGATGATGAGTGGTCTGTCTATACCTTTTTTTTTTTGAGAAGACCAGACAAACTCTCCGCATTAAGGTTGTGCTGCAGACGCAACGTTACGCCAGCTCTCCTGGGCTTTCACTCTGATTGTTTTGTTTTTTACCACAGTGCAGTCGATTAGTCCATTTCAGTAAACATCAGAAGCTAGTCAACGCCAAGCAGCTTAATGGGCTGTATTCCCTCCCTCTGCTCGCTTCTGATAACTTGTAATCGACTGGAACAATTGCACAAACATGACGCATTAGCGCCCGATTCGTTGGAACCCACTTTTAGACCCAAATTATATATTTGGACTTAATGCACATCTGAAACCCAGCTTGATGGAAAATACACTGGTATCTGTTTCTCGTTAGGAGGCACCTTTTTTATAACGCGCCTTGCATTCAAATGCAGGACTGGTCGAACACGCATGGACCTTTCAAAGGGAGCATCACAGGAACCACTAGTCTCCTTCTCACTGGTGTGTTTTTGGTGCTTATCGTTTCTAATATTTAACAACAATATAACGATGGGTAAGCTCGCATGCATGTGTTCCGCGGCGGAGATGAACAGCCGGCCATGCGTGCTCACATCTCTGGGAAATAAATGGCCACATTAGACCGCCACAAGGATAGGAATGTGCGGCCACTGGGTTTTTAATTACGCGGA